TTTTCTTAAGTTTCTGTCTACATTCTTGTTCTGAAACTATTGTTCGCTCTTGGTTTGTTAAAGACAACATCCCATTCTTTCATGACATAACATTCTGGGGCAGAGTCAACATAAATGACTAAACGTTTCAAATTCTCGACTGCTTTGTTATAGTCTCTAAATGGACACATATTTCTGAAGGCTTGGAAGTCATAAAAATCTGAAACGTCTATTCTGTACATTTTTATAAAAAAAAAAAAAATATTTTTTTATTCTTGACTTTGTTGTTGCATTTGTTCCATTTGTTGCATTTGTTGTTCTTGAGCTATTTGTTGTTGAAGTTGTTCTTGTAGTACAATACTTTCACCAGTTGCATCTTCCAATTCGAAACTTTCTGCCGTCATTGACAAATACATAGGACATAAAAGTTTTACAGGAACAAAGTTTGCGTCGACTAAGGTTAAGTTTATGTTTGCTAAAGTGTTTGAGTTTACTAAAGCTGAAAACTCTGCATTCGAATGAACAATAGGCAAACCAGCAGAGAAAGTGTTGTTTATACGCATGAGTATTTTTGGTCATAGTAGTTTCTGTCGACATTCGAATAGCACTTTGAACCTAAGTTTGAAACAATATATAAATGGTGTACTTAAAGTCAATGGAACAGACATTCCTTGTATGACACCTTTTCCTGTTATAGGAAACTGTTGGTAGTAAAAACCAGATATAAGTTTTGTATTATAGCTCATATCGTTTATAGTAAACTCAGTCGGACATCCAAACATAATGAAACCTGCTCTAGTTGCAGCACATGTTACATCCGTCCTTAAAGTATTAAATAAGTCAACAAAACCTGTTGGTGGTATATCTGAGTAAGTATCTTCAAAGAAGTATTTTTTACCATTCACAACAACAAAGTCTTCTGGTGTCAAAAGAGCAAAACAGGCTTTAGTCGTCATTGTGTTTAAGGTCAGTTACAATATCGTCCTTGAGGACTTTGTAAGTTTGTTGTTATAGAATTATATGACTCAGGGTTTTTAGTCGTAATAGTATAAACCACTATGTCTTCTGCCATTTACTTAGCAAGTAAATTTTAATGAAATGTTGTGGTCGTCAAATATTTTTATGACGTCTGGGAAACTATATTTTAAGTTCAACGTTTCACCTCCTTTCATAACGTATATCTTGTCAATGACATTATATGAAACACCACAGCAAGCAATGTCGGGTTCTATTTCTTTGATGTTTATATCGTCTGCCTCTGTCAAAAGTTTCAATAGTTCTTTCAAAATTTCATGAGGTGCGATGACATATGAGTTCACTTTTACAGGGTTGTGTTCGACCAAGTTTAACATTATACCCAAAGCTTGACAAATCTTCTCCTGAGTTTTAAGTTTGTCTTTAAGTTGTTGGTAGTCGTTTCGAATATCTGCAACAGAACTTAAGTCTCTGCTAACTTCAGGTATGTTGGTTGTTCTTTTACAGGAACTATTGTTATACCATCTTCGTCTTCGTATGGTTTCCCCACTTCAACATCTCTTTCTTTGACATTGACAACAACACTTTGACTGTTTGTTTGAGTTGGTGAATTTAACTTCACATCTGCCACCGCCATTAAACCTTTTGAAACACTTACGCTTCTATTTTTCGGAAATGACATTTTACTTAGAATAAAAAGATGGACGTATTTGAGTATCTCTTCGAATTGAAGCAAAACAAAGTTTACACACACAAACAATACAAGTTCATTGACAGATAGTTCTTTATACAAACAATGGAAAATGTTATAGAATAGCAGTCTTTGCTGAACCAAAATATTTTCATAAAGCAAAGAAAGTTGGTATAACGAAATGGTGAAAGTTCTTGAAGCAGACAAAAATATAACAACAAAACTGACCGATATTTCTAAAGGTAAGTTTATAATACAATATTATATCAAAACTGGCGTACTGTCAATATTTGACGGAGAGAAGTCAGTTCAAGAACAACTTACTGACCTGCTGCCAAAATCTGCTCGATGGAAGCTGTCGTTATACCAATCTGAGGAGCCCCAGCAGGTTTCATCGAACGAATTCAAAAGAGCATCTTCCGTGAAAAGTGCTATTGGTTTTGTAAACTTCTTTGCTTTCAATTCATTTGGACCGTCTCTGTCACCAGTATATTGTATTTGAACTGTACCAACAGTTGAAATACCACCCATAAAGTCTTCTGAGTCAGCAAATGGAATGCCAAGCCAAAAGTTTGAACGGTCTCCATTTGTATATTGAGTTTTTGAGCTCCTGTATGAGTCCATACTTTCACATATGGCATAATAGAACTTTGCATTTCAGGGTTAATGGTTGTTGTGAAGTTGTTGTTAAAGTTCATAGCATCTAATGTCAAGTTGTATGACCTCATATCCTCAACTGTAGAATATTCTTCTCTTGGATATATTTGCCATCTATGTTTATATGGTATTTAATACCAGGGTTGTAGAAGCAAGAATAGTCATTTATAGTTCGTCTGAACAGTACAAACATAGTATCTGCATGTTTCATTGCAGTTGTTAAGCAATATCTGTTCTTGCACCTGGGTCAGCACTTTGGTTTCCAACTTCACCTGCAAAGTCTTTGACAGATATTTGGTGTATAGGGAACATAAGTGGAACTGCAATATATTTGGCAGCTAAAGCATTTGAAATATCTGGGTCCAACATATAGACTGCAAGTCTGCTTTCTATTCTCTTGCATTCAAACTTTTCGCATGTGAACTTAACTGGGTCCCAAGCAGTTCCAGCAGCATTGAAATATAGTTTACTTCAGTGTTGAGGTTTGAGAAACCAAAGTCTAAGTCAACTTTGTCTTTGCAAAATTCGGCGAATGACGTTTGATTTGCTCCCTTTACGTCTGTAAGAGTGAATGGGTCTTGTGTTGGTGCAATGACTAAGTTATTTTTGCTTGGAGTAAGTTCGATAGAAATTTTTCCTGCCCAGTTTGGCAAGTATCTTAAAAACCTGAAGATGAGGAAAGATGACAAAGGAACTCTAAGTTTCAATTTTACTTTGGTTACTGCTGCTGCAGTTTGTCCAGAAAGGTTAACATAAACTCCTGGAACGTTAGGGTCAAGTCTTCTTATTTTCTCAATAGTTGCATACTGGTCTGTTTGTTCTCTAGCTTGTGGTTGTACTGAGTTTCTCAAAGCGAACCATTCATAGTTTGCCCATGTTACTGTTTGAACTAAGTCAGAGTTAGAATATATCTTATATCCCATGAAAACTTCTGGAGCATATTGGTATCCGACATAGAAAATTCCATTGCAACCTTTCTTGTCAGACAACTTGGCAGAAGGTTTTATTTCAATGTCTTGTTCCACGTATAAGAAAGAGTTGTCAATAGAAATATATGAAACCTGTCGCAAGCAATATCTACTGTTGTTGAAGAACCTTCTCCAAACTCACCTACGTTTCCATAAGAAACAGCAGTTGTATATTCGTAAGTTCCAGGAACTATTTCTGACCTTCTAATGGCATTGTCGCATTCGTTATACCATTCGGAAACATTTCCATTCATAGCATCCAAAACTGTTGGCGTTATATTCTGAGCGGCGTACATTTCATATGAGTAAAAATATAGAATAGTTGGATTTATATGTCATAATAGAACCCACGTGGACCAAGCTTTACTTTCTTCCTGACTGAGTTTTTAACTCTTCTTTTTCCTTCATTGCCCTCTGCTTGAAGTTGTTGCATCTTTGCATTATGTTCATCTAGTATGTTGCAAATTTCCCATGTCCTTTTTGCCTTTGGCTCTGGTCGCCCATCTCAGGTAACCTATATCCTAGAAAGAGTTTGTCATAGTTTGTATTTGAGTCTTCGCGTATTGTTTGCATGACTCTTTCCTGAGTTTCCGGTTCAAGCTCTTCAAACAGTGCTGTCCATATGGAATAAGCTCGTTTCCAAATATATGTTTTTGTAGCCATTCTGGTTTTCTTTCCATGTTACCATAATATCTTTTGTGAATGGGAAAGCTTTTACCCAATCTTTCAGTCTTGCGTCGTTTATTTCTGTAGTTGGTTTTATTTTGTCAAGGAACATGTTTTTCAATACTAACATTTCATTTGGTACTGTCCATTTGAGTTTTCTTAAATATTCATCCCTTCTCGGTTCATTGTCTGCAAAGTAAGTTTTTATGACATTTTGCAAACTTTCGTTTGCAAGGTCATGTACAATAGGTTCTCTTCCTTCTCTCTCCCTAACTTTCTTTCTAAACTCTTCACCAAATATACCATCTCTATGGTTCTGTGTAGTTCTTTGAGATAAATGTTCTAGAACGTCAGGTGTTATATTTCCATCAGCCATGTTCATTTCATACTGGTCCAAAATATCTGCATGTTTCATATCTTTCAATGGCATTAAAGCCGCGCTGAAAATACCAGCTATATCTGGTTCACCATTCACTTCCATTGCGTCTACAACTTCTTGGAATTGTGGTTGTAAGTTTATGAACCACCTATCCGGATTAGCTTTATGACCCCATCTCATTGTAGTTCCATCGTCTGCAGAAACAAAAGTAGGTTTGTTTCCATATTGGTTAGGTTCTGAATGAACTTTAAACAATGTTTCATTTCTATATGTTTTTGAAATTTAACCTTTTATTTTCACCGAGTTCATCCGAAGATTGAACGTTATAATGCTCGTAAGTAAAAAGGGTTGTTGTATTTGCGTACATTTCTTTCAGTTCTTCCATTCTATGCTGAATATTTTCATCTGATGTTGGAGTCTTTTGTATGTCGGCAAACATTTTTCGATATTCTTCTACTATGTCAGCCGAATTTTTCTTAGACTCTTGGAAAGATTCCATATTCTCCGCATACTCTTGTTGAGGGTCAAGATTTTTCGGCTGTTCCAAATCTTCATCTAGTTCTGTGAAGTTAGTTTCCAAAGGAGGGACTTGTTCGTTTCCTTCAGGCTCTTCTAGCTGTTGTTGCTGAACTATTTCTTCCATGTCTGGTTGTATCTGAACTTCTTCCTGTGGAGTTTCTTGTACCTCATCTGCTGGCATTTCATATATTCCGAGACCGTTTTTAACAAGTTCCCTATCTAAGTCATCCGGACTCATAAACCTTTCTTCTTTCGTTCCGTCTCTATTTTTTACGCGTTTCATGAAGAGAGTTGAATTATCATTTAGCTCTGACACCAAATATCTCGGAGTAAATTCAGTCATGTCATTTGGATGATATGCTATTAAATCATATCCCTTAGCGAGCTTGTATTTTCCAGGTTTGAAATTATATCCCATTTGGTGCTGAGCCATAAAGCTAAATAGGTTCGGGTCAGTATTTCCTTCCTTGAACTTTCTAATAGCTTCTTTATATCTGTCACTAAAGTCAATACTATCTGGGTAACCATAGTCTTCTTTAAGCATTTTTAAGAATTCTTGGTTTCCTTGTTCTCTACTTCTTTTATGTCCTTGCTCTGTTTGTGGTTGTTGTTGTGCAGGGTTTTGAACTGTTGGTTGCTGTGCTGGTTGTTGTGCAGGGTTTTGAACTGTTGGTTGCTGTGCTGGTTGTTGTGTTGGTTGTTGTGCTGGTTGTTGTTGTTGTTGTGTTGGTTTTGGTGCATGCCTGTGTCTGTGTCCATGTGACGATGTAAATGTTTTAGGTAGTCCTGGTGCAGGTGCTTCTCTTGGAGGGTTTGGTGGTATATAAGTTCCACTAGCTAGTATATAAGTTCCACCAGCTGGTATATAAGTTCCACCAGCTGGCACATATGTTCCATCTGCAGCATAATGTCCTACCTGACTTTTCGTTCTTAAGAAAGCATTTACTAGGTCTTTTTTGGTCTGTTGTAACTCTTTTTCTTGACTTTCCACAACGGTTGCTCTAACGGCGTCATAGGCACTTTGAACTGCCTGTCTCGTTGCTGCATCTGTTATTTTCGTCATATTTTGTGCTACTTCTCTTAACTCGTTGTCGAAACCTTCAGACTTCAGTTTCTTTCCAGATGAGAAGTCGTTCACTTGTTTCACCTTACTATGAAGAGCTTCGAAGGCATTCTTAAAGTCAGCATTCGTTAAAGCTTCATTTGAACTGTCTTCATCCGCTTGTATTTTTGTCCTTATTGACCCTATGAGTTGGGCTGCTTTAGCGTTGGCTTGGGCATCTAACCAGTCATTGTTAGCTTTTATATATTCTGCGCTTTTCATTGCCTTTTGCATAGCCGCGTCGTTATTTTTACTTTCTTGTGCTAAGTTTTCATACTGTACGGTTTGGTTTTGCAACTGTAAAAGTTTTTCTGCCTTTACATTTGCTTCAACTTCTTTTTTATACTCATCGCTATCCATATATGTCTTCAGGGCTTTTTTGTTTTATCTCTTCATCTTTCAGTACTTTATATCGAGTAGTATGGTTTTTCAAATTTATGACATCTTGTTCCATTTTTGCTACTTCTGCTGCTTTTTCTGACACTTTTTTCGCATATTCCTCTGTACTTAGTTCTTTCAATTGTTCTTCTTTCTTCTTTTTCTCTACGTTTAACTCATTGAGTTTCTTTGTGTGTCTGTCATATTCTAGTTTCTTTTCGTTTTCACTTATTTGCTTCTGTATATCTATGTTTGACTTTTTGACATCTGTTATTTGATTTTTGAGTGAACTCAAATTCATTTGACTTTGAGGGTTATATGCTGTTCCGTCTGCAGCTCCACCATAGCCTGCCATTTTCGCTAAAAGTGCCGCTCTTAAACCTCCACTCTGTGCACCAACAACTCGGTTTAAAAGCATAGGATTGCTTGACATTTGTTGCAACATAGTGGGGTCATTCATTTTTGTTGTTGCAACTGTTGTTGTGGTGTTAGTCTTACTATTGGATGTTTCAATGCTCTCTTCCTCTTACGTATATTCTTACGTAGCTTACGTGGCATTTTAAGTGAAGTTAAAAAGCGGTTTTTGACAGATGTTTATATGACACTTCTTGTTCAGCACAAAAAACTACTCGGTCAAAGTGTTGTCAGTTTTGTAAAATAACCGTCCTATCTCATTCTATAAGGGAAAAAGGCTTCTCAAAGTATACTTCCTTGGAACGCCTGTAACTTTTCCTGTAGCGACGATAGACCCTTACTTGTCCAGACAAAGTTACACTATTTTGAGTGCTCTACAAAAAAGTCAACGGCGACGACTCTCAAAAACCGTTGTGTAAAAAGTTTTACCGTTGGACAAAAAAGTATATATAGAAAACAAAAAACGTTTATAGTTCATTCAATATTTGAGATGGAACGGTTTTCCAACGGTAACTATTAATAAAATAAATTATAAGAAGGGGTTACCGTTGACGAAAACGGTTTATTTTAAACTTTTCTATGAGTAGTCCGAAAAAAACAGTTCATTTTTGTCTAATGGCATTCGCTAGCGTGTTCGCTCCAAATTCACCTGAAGAAATTGCTTGCAAACTTTCAGCACCCACAGGTTTAGAGCCTCATATCAAACTGCAGCATCTACACATTCTCCAAGCAGAACAGACAATTCACTCAATCCAAAGCCACTTTCACTACCAAAAACAATACCAAACGAGCTCCGTATTACAAAGAACCACAGCAACGCTGAACTACGCAAAATACTACTCAGATTGTCTGAAGAATACTTCAATTCAAAGCCAGAAGAAAGAGTTCCTGCAACTTTTAACAAAGAATATTGTGAACAACTCAACAAAGTTCTTGCAGACTTTACCAAACTACAAAAAGAAACACCTGACCCATTCGAATTAGGTGACACAATTGTCAACTATTTTCCAACAATAACAAAGATAATGGTTGACAGAACTATATGTCAGCTTATTGAAAGTCTTCCACCCAAAGCTGCAAAAAAAGTCGAACAGTTTTGGGTCGAATTCAAATTAAAGAGTTATGGATATCAGGATGACGAAGAAGAACGTGAGTACGGACAAGAAACAGCAAAATGGCAATGTCTTAGCTCACTCAACCCCAAGTTCAAACCATTATTTTACTCAGACAACAACACAATTCAAGTACGCAAAATTGCTATTCATTTCGTTAACCAAGCAGAAGACATTGAAGAAGGAGACTCTATCTCAGTTTATGTTTGCTACTGCAAATTTTTCAAGGACGAATTTGGAGGACCAATTCTCATGCATGTCTTCAAGCCACGTCAGCAACTCTACGTTGAAACTGAAATAACACTCATGCATGGAATGTATCTCAAGTTTGAAAGCCAATTGGAAAACACATACAACATTTGGCTTTCATACATTCAGTTCGATACACCAGATGACTTTGATGTTGAAGAAGAAGACTCTACTCAAGAAGATGAACCACAAGACTCAATCCAAGAAGAGTCCTCCGAATTCACACCAGAAGACTAACAATTTTCCGAATAAAAACCTCATTTTTTACTAAACATCTTCGGGGCTAGAAGGGGCGCAGCCCCTGGAAGCCCCACTACCTTTTTTTTTTTTTTTTTTTTTTTTTTTTTTTTTTTTTTTTTTTTTTTTTTTTTTTTTTTTTTTTTTTTTTTTTTTTTTTTTTTTTTTTTTTTTTTTTTTTTTTTTTTTTTTTTTTTTTTTTTTTTTTTTTTTTTTTTTTGGATATGATGTCAAAAGTTAAAACATAACTTAGGATCTTGAGAAAAATGAAAACAAAAATTACATAAAAAAGAAAAATTTTATCTAATTTGTTTTTTTGGACGCGAATAAGTAATTTTATTGAATTTCAATACGACACATAGATTTTATTATTAGTAATAAATATAATGGTTTACTATTAACAAGGAACCTAAACTAATGAAAATTTTGATTTCAAATATTGTATATGATTATCATAGATTACCAAAATATATTGCTATTTATGAGGATATAATATTGATTATTAGTAAATCGTATAAATTTAATAAATATACATGAATATTGAATGAATTTCTTGATTCATAGGGGTAAAACGCGCTTTTATATGATTTAGACAGAGAATTTATGAGATGTAAATAACACAATAAAGGTTTATATTGAATATTTTCTAAAACTAAATCGAAATTATAAAAAAACAATACATTTATTCATTGAAACTACTTGGACAAATATGAAACAAGCATTCAGCAATACTTTTGAGACTTCAACGCATCTGATAATTTTTATATAACTTCACCTCTTATGCTTAGAGTGGAGGTATTGAGATCGTATAAGTATAGATGAGCTCACATTCAGATATGATGTGTGAACTTCTGTTTTCACTGCAATTTTGAATCAGAATAAACTCAAAACAAGAATAAAATGATATACTCACTCTCTAAAATGTGTTCGAGATTTAAAGTTGTATGAATAAAACGATTCATCTTTCGAAGCCTCCCATTTAATGAGAGACTTCGAAAGATGAATGTATTCATGTAGATGAAATACTATATATGACCATGTGTGATACTAAAGATATCAAAATGTTCATTTTTAAGTGCAATAGAAGGGTTATCTCTCGTAAAATCTCAATTTAAGGAAGATTTAGAAAGAACTCCTTTCCTAAGTAGATAGTGTGTGGTTTCTGTCTTTTGGTTGATCAGGAACTATGAAATTAAGTCGGACAGAAAGAAGTTCTTTCCAAAACAGACTCCAAATGAGTTGTTCGAAAAGACTTCCTTCTGTATATGGATAATTGTAGTTACCGCACTGAAGTATGTGATTGTGATGATGGAGTTCTCGATAAATCTAAATCGGATTAAGATTAATTGAAAACTCAAGTAATTCTTTGAAATCTTGTGTTGTCTGGCACTATAATAACCAAAGAATGAGAATATTTGTTGAATGATGAGTACGTGTGCTCGGCATTCGCCGAGCGAATTGAGTTTAACGTACTATGAAAAGTGACAAATTTGGGCTTTTTTTCCTAGGGTTATGATCTCTTCCTTTCTGCTCAATACGACAGAAATGAAAGAATGAATTTGTACTCCCTAATTGATTACTACAATCTGTATCTATCTTTAACATAGAATTAGCTGCATTGTGATTTATACTCCAGAATTATTCAATTTAAGATCAACCTCGTAAATTTTAATCATATTGCACCAATACTCCTACGTTGAGATAAGAACATGATTATACATACCAAAGCCCCCTATTAAAAAATCAAAATTTAGCACCTCCATTATGCAACCACATTATTCGTCCAAATAAGTATATTTACGCATATTATGATGCATATTCACACAACTCGTATACATGAAAAGTTATTAAAATCAGACAAAATTATTGCAATAAGGGAAAAAAAACAACTTTATTATATATGTTAGTAATGAATTACAAATATTTCTACAAAGAATGCTCAATACTTCATATAATCTTCGAATATTTCTTATTACAAGTTAATACATTTTGACTCGAACATGATAAACAAAAGCCGACACGCCGATTACTACATTTATGAAAATATAGTACGTTTCCATTCATCTGTTTACTTGTTTTTGTTGGAATAAAATCATTTTTTTTTCTTTCATGAAATAAGAATTTTGCTGCGAAAGCAATATCTCTAACAATAATTAATACATTACGTCAACTCTGGAATGAGTATTTATCAAATATGATATCAAAATCAAAAATTAGTTGTTTTTTATGAGTAAAAACGATGTAAATTGATTATTTGACTAATTATCAAATACTTTGATTTTCCAAATTTTTTTCGAAATTGATTTTTTCATGTGAAAATTCCAATTGTTTAATTTCATTTTTGAAATTTTGAATTTTTTTTGGAATTTTGAGTTGATCAATTCAGCAGAATTGATAATGCTATTGCTTTAGGGCATACCACAAGGTGATGAATAAAAGGTGAACATTAACAAATTATTTTAAATCACAAATATCATCCTCATCAACTTTAATTCTAAAAAGAACTGTGCTGAATTATGAAAATGCATGATTTACATTATTAAAATCTTTGAATGAAAATAGTACAAGATAAGTTTTTATTCATTTTTAATTAGATTTAAACGAAAAACTACTCCATATTAAAATTTAAGTCGAGAAATCTATTTTGTTCTTATTTGTTAGCATTTTGTAGACATTCTAATCTTGAATTAATTTGTTACATGATATTATTAACAAATTTAACTGAAAAAATATGTTAATATGGAATAAACCATGATTATATAAGCTATCAATGCTATATATACATATGTAAAAGATTCATATTAACTCAATTAACAAAAATGATAGATTTTCATAAAGGTTCAATCTAGGTTCGTCCGAAAATTTTGATTTTTATATAGAAGACATAGTTTCATATACATAATTAAATTTTCAAACAAATTTGATCATACCATTTATTAAGCAGGATAGTATATTAATTACTATCAGTATAAAAATATAAAAATGATTATATTTAATTATTGCATAATTTAGTCAAAGAGTTATAAGCCTCAAGTGATCGTTATCACCTTCAATGCACGTATACTTTATTGATTCATAGATATTTAATCTATGTTTGACATGTTGTTGTCGTCATTCGTTTTGTTCCCATTCTTCCTAAGTTAGAATTAGAGAATACACCATCCACATCATCTAATTTGGTCCTCAGCGATAGATTGGTTCATTTTGGAGGAGTCCCATCAGACAGTTTTCGAGCACCAAATATCAAATTTTAATGTATACAAATCTTTAGTGATTTATCTCTTTTATGATGAGTAAAAGGTTTCTGCTCATCAACATTTGATTTCCGACATATATGATTTCTAATTGCAATTATTTACTTTCTTTTTATAATCTAACTCTGTGACTCATACCATAAATTAATTATTGGAAAGTGTCAATATGTTTGGCACAACGCATGGCGGAAGATACCAAACCATGCAGGGAATATGATACGTTTAAGATCTCCGAACTTTTTTTCCAAAAATTTTCTATCGTTGCCCTACCTCTTTGATGAAGTTTCTTCAGAAATTTTTGGTCATGGTACTGATAGTTCCTATTGATTGATTCATCGTTTCATGATCATTTAATCGTATTAAAACAATCAATTCGATTTAACGTTTCATTTTTCATTCAATTTATAGAAATCCAACTAAAATTGAAATTTTAATTTTTGATGATAATTATAAATTCAAATTCGTCTTTGATGAAGTTTCTTCAGAAATTTTTGGTCATGGTACTGATAGTTCCTATTGATTGATTAATCGTTTCTTATATGTATGAAATATTTCATAAATTAACATAATTATCACGGACTTCTTTTCATTCGCCGAAACTTTAATTCTGTGATTAATTCAGCTAAATTTCCTGAATTTTAGTGCGTATTTAGGAGAACAAATCAATGACTTAAAAGATTACATACAATGCATTAAATTTATATAGAATTCAAGTACAAATGATATAAGGTGAGTTAATTTCAGAGATTATCTGAAACAATCAACATTTTTTAAAATTTAAGATATAAAAATGTCACATTCTTCAAAGTAATCCGCATCCAATTTAATTTAGATCTAAAACGGTCAAAAATTCTCATGAAAATGAAATTTGTGGATATAATCCCAATCATCTAGATGTTTATCAATATTATCCAATCAAATTTATAAATATCAGCATTTAATTACTCATGTATCTGAATTGATTAGATATTTTTTTCAGAACTGAGGTTGAAGCGACTTAAAGACTTTGATATTCATTTTTCATATTCTATGAACACCAATTTCATATTTTTTCAAAGCATTTCTCTCTAGTCATTTCAATGTCACTCTTCGACGAAAATGTTCTCATTAGAGATTGCGGAAAAAATCTCACCAAAGGAATGAACGTTTGCCAACTAAGGGTTGGTGGTCAGAAATATTCATTCCAGATTGCTGTTAATGGATTTAATCAGGCTATTGATTTTCCACTGTTACAAGCTTCATATTTTAACAATATGTTCGGATTTAAAGCCCAAGTAGAGAAAGAAAGTCAATTTATTGAGATTATTCCAAAGCTTCCGACAAATTATTTTTCAGTTTCTTTCTTCCTTTTGGGTGATTCTAACGTAATGGTCAACACACGTACTCCAATCATTAAGATGAAGAATCAACCAGTATTTGTTCAACTCAAGACAAGTTTTGACAATAAAACAAAAATAATTAAGCCAAAGTTATATTTCACATTTAATCGAACAGTCCAATTTGACAGCATGTTAGATTTGGACTACTCACTCTTATCTTCCCACTTAAATAATCTTGGTGCACATTTTTCAGTCAGAGTTCCAAAATTTACGTTTGCTGCTCACTTCAATCCACTTGATAAAAATACTTTACTTTCTTCCACTTACTATGCAGCTTTCAGGCTTCCATATGCAGATCTTGAGCTTCAATACGAAAATAAAGATAAAAAGTTCTCTATAATACTAAAGAGCAAAACATACAAAGGTTTCAAAGGTCATATTGGCGCTGAATATGCAAATCATGTTTATTTAGTTGGAGATCTTAAATACAAACGTAATTCAACAACTTATGAAGTTGCAGCCGATACAGCTAAATTACTGAAGGTTTCTGTTTCGAAGCAAATTAACGATGAATTTAATCTCACTCTTACAGCTTCGCGTGACTTTAATTACGCTTTCCCTATCAAATTTGGATTATATATGACATTTAATCAGTAAAACTGTTTATTTTATCCATTTGAGTTTTTCTTACGGGTTACCCACCAAAATTCAAATATTATTTTTTATCCTTTGAAGGGAAAGAATCCTTTAATCTTGCATATCATAGCCTAATAATAGAAACAAGGAAATAACCAGATTTCAGAACTTTGTGACTTGAATACACTTATTGTTTGTGGCGTTTTATAAATATTATCAATATATTAAGAATAATTATATATTACAATCCTAATAATAAGTTAGACCAAAATCGATAAGTCCAATTGTTCGATTTTATGAGGAATTTCGATTTCGTAACTCAGAAAATTTTAAATTGATATTCGTCAACAGGTAGATATATTAGTTACTACAGCCATTTTTTACTGGATTTCGAATCAATTTGATAGAAATGCTTTGAAATTCTGAATTGCAATATCAATTTGGATAACTTTTTAAATACACAACGTTATTGGGAATGATTTTGCATAATTGAAATACGTAAACAGAATTGTTATCCCAATGAAAAAATTTGTTTGATTTAATTTTTAATTTTGGAATAACGACAATACCACTTAAACCAAATTGTAGGTTAAAATGTGGATAATAAATTCGTCTCTGAAAATAATGAATGAAAAATCACTTTTCGTGAAATCACTTCTATTTCATATAATATTCATCATTTCGCAGTGGTTTATTCAACTTTTTAATTTTTAAACGAATTTGAATTAAATTGTCATAATGTTGTAAAAATAAAGAGAGGGCCTCAAATACAAAAAAAGATTTATGTACGGTCGGCACTTATGACAAAAATCGAATATCATTCAAAAAGTTTGAGAACAAAGACTCATAAGAAATCGTCTTTCCATATGTATATTCATAATCCGAAAAAATCTTGTTTTTTCAAAGAAAAATTATTGCATACATTGATTACAACATTATATGCAAATATTTAAACCATAGCCCTCGATCATTTCTCATAAAAATTGATACCGAATAACAATAAATTGTGATGGGTGTCAAAAAAATTCTATACTTTATTCCAAATTAAATGCTCACTCCTGAGGCTGATGCGGAACTTCAAAAACTCTTTCCAGATGATGTTTATAGGGACGTACGCCTCGGAATCACCATTCAAGATTTATTAGAAAAACTTCCTACACACTATCCTGCAGATATTGCGAAAGTATTAGCTTCTACCAGTATAGCACAGTCAGATGAAGGAATCTTAAGGCTATGCTGTAATATGGCAGAATTTATGGAAACATACTCTGGAAATAACGTAATTTTTGCTCAATTATGCGATAATTTAAATAAGTTAGCTGGGCCAAATAACAAATTAGCTCACATAAAAGACGTCATTCTTAAATTTATGCTTGATGCAGACTTTCTTTCTCCTCATATATCTGCAAGGCTAACACAAGCTGAATTCTTCGCAGTTTATTGGAAATCATATCACATCTCTGAGGAAGAAATAGTCGCAGCAATGAAACATTACCATCAGCAATGCCCATTATCTGAGCTTCCTCTTGTATACTTCTTTATTTTCTTCCGAGATATGATACAAAGGATTGATCCTGAATTTTACATCGTTGCAGACGAATTTTGTAGCAAAGCAATGAAAACTAAACAATCTTTTTCAGATTGCTTCCACAATTCAGTTGTTTTTTCTTATGAGGTTTGGCAAGAACTCGCGGGTGCAGTTCGAAACAACAATTTCCCAGATCCAATAGTAATTACTATTTGGGATGATGATATCGCAAGTTTTGAACAAATAGCTTCTCAACCTGATTTCGACTTAGGACAGACAATTCCAAATATTACATTTTTACCACTTACGTCGACATTTAAATCAGCAACGATCACCGAATTTGCTGCTTTCGCTGGCGCATCAAAAATTTTCCATTACTGTCTTTCTCACGGCGCTGACGTCACAGCTCCATCGACATGTTTATATACGATCCCACAGCTTGCTGCTGCTGGTGGAAACTTCGAAATAATAAGAACTGTATCTCAATTACATTTACCAACAAATGGCGTAGCGCATACTGCTACAATGGCTCGCAGAAGAGACGTCTTCGAATTTGTCCAAAGATTTTTCCCCGACGATATTAACCATCAAATACCAAGGTTAGGTTCTGTCTTCATGCAGTGCTGCAGCTGTGGCGATTTAATCGGTGCAGTCGATCTCATGTGTCACGGTGTTGATTTGAACCAAAGAGACAACTCCGGCCAAATTCCAATCAATTTCGCTATCAGAAACGGAAAACGCGACATCACACGTATGTTACTAGCCCATCCTAAGGTCGATACTTCCCTCAAAGACCTCAGCGGTAACAGTACTTTGCATTATGCAGCTGAATACGGTCACGACGACATTGTCATGGAAGTTTACAAGCGCGGTGGTTGTAATATCAACGACCAAAACGATATGGGCTTTACACCATTAATGATGGCCTGTTTCCGTGGCAAATTACGTGTAGTCAAGAAAATCTGCGCTTTACCTGAATTAGATTGGAACGTTAAGTCATCATGGGGCTTATCCGCGTTATCAATAGCTGTCCAGAGTGGTTATCCAGAGCTTGTCAACTTCATGCTCGAAATTCCGACCGTTGATGTAAACACAGCCGATAACAATGGAAAGACACCACTTCATTTCGCAGCAGAAGCAGGTTTCGCAGCCATGGTTCGTATCCTTCTTTCCTGTCCTAGAGTAGATGTCAATCTAACAGACAGCGAAGGTTGGACACCACTTCACCTCGCTGCAGAAAACGGTTTTGCAGAAGTTGTTGCATTATTATGTGAAAAGGAGAACATCAATCCTAATGTCATGGATCTTTACGGAATGGCTCCTCTTCATTATGCAGTGAGAAATGGAAAAGTTGAAGCTGTACAAGTTCTGTTGAGTTGTCCAACAACAAATTCGAATATAAAGGACAGGAGAAACAGAGTTCCTTTGTGCTACACAAAGAGCCATCCAAAGATCGCGGAGTTGTTGATGCAACATCCTTTGATTGAACCTCCTGATGAAGATGAAATGGGTTTGTCGCCTGTGGACAATTCACCTGTTGTTAACTTTATTTAATTGTGTTTGTATTTTTGTATATATATATATATTTTATTTATTTTTGTAGTTGTAGTTGTTGTTTTATATATATATTTTTTATGTCTCGAAAAAAAAAAATTTCAATTTCAATTTCGATCTTTTGATTCATATGCTTTGGGAAAATAAAATTGATAATCTTATGTACTAAAAGCGATCTTTCTTTTATTACTATTTTTTTTCACAAATCAGAATTCAACATTTATTTTTTTCCCTTTTAATTTCGAAAAATTTACTATCAAAACATTCATCTCTACTCATAGCACCTCTGATTTTTCGTTTTTAAACAGAGACATCCGAACAAATGATCGATGAAATTTATCTTGTAAGGCTATAGTTTACAGGTTATGAAATATGTGTGCACAAAGCATCTTATTCATTTATTCAAAATTATAGTCCATAATTTTGATATTTATCGATTCATATTTTTTATTATTACAAATTATCAGATGAAAATAAAAAACATAATAATTTAAGAACAAAATATTATCGAATCTACTAGTATTGGCTAATCATTATAGAAAAAATGTTGAAGGTTAATATAAACAGTCTATTTAAGTTTAAAAATGTAATGGTAAACTTGATTGTTACATTAGAAGCTAATGATACAATAATTTCTAGTAGAACTTTCGGTTGATAGACATTTTTTTTATTTTTAATATAGGAAATCGGAATAATCTGATAACAAAAATTGCTCCGCAACTCTTTCTTTTGTTCGTAAGTAAGTCTGGGCAAAAGTATAAACGTAGCGATCGATTTTAGCTTTTTCTTTATCTGTTAAATGCTCTGTTGACAAATCAGTAATGCAGACACGAAATACACGTGGAACAAGACTATCTAGTATTTCTGATTCTTCAGCTTTACTATTTGTAAGTCCCATTCTTGATTTTTTTAATTTCTGACATGTAAAATAATTTCAATTTTATTTGGCAATATTTATAATAATGAATCGTGGAAAATATCGATATCACCCAGAGAAGTTTGATACAGACGATCCAGTCTTACAAAAAGAATGGGAAGACCTCAAAGATGTATTATGTGATAATGAATATATGACAAGATACAAAATTATGATTGGGCAGCCAATTAATTTGAAAACTATATGGAATATTTGGTCAACTCCCAGTACCGATCTATCTAACATATGGTCACACTTTATTGCAGGTATCTTTTTTATTGTCAGAGGATGCTTTTTCCCTGGTCGATTTTTGGCATTACATTTAATCACTGCATACACATATATAACATCTTCAATGTATCACACATTTCGAAATTATAATAGAAAATTATATGATATCATGTTAAATTTTGATGTTTCTGGAATTGCAATTCAAATATTTTCATATGACTTTGTAGACACTATTGCATTCTTTCATAACAGACGTAATGATCTAATGTACATATATATTGCAGTTTTTTCAGTCCTTGCAATCTTAATTATTGGAAGTGTTCCAATTATCCTCAAAAGAAAGTTATACACACTTAGAACAGTTTCTTTTTCAATTTGCGCACTTACCTGCTTCCCACTTTTCGTTCACGGAATCAAAATTTATGGATGGAATTCTAAAAGCAAGAGAATGCTCATTTTAAGAATTATAACCATTGCATTAGAAGGTGTTGGAATATTCTTTAGAGCATCAAAGCTTCCAGAACGCTGCGCACAAGGTGGAGTATTTCAATGGTGCTTCCATTCTCATTTTTGGTTCCATTTAGCTGCATCAGTTGGAAGCTTTGTTGGTTGCCTTTCAACCGAAGCCATGAGATAAATTATATTAATTTTATTTATATAATCATTTTGTTTGAGTAAAAAATGTCTCCTAGTAAATCAAATTAGAATACAAGTTTATTCATCAGTACATTTACCTTTACTTTGGTTAATACTTTTATCTTTGAAATTTTATATTGGAAACACACAATAAACTCATAATATTGCAATGTAAACCAGGGGTTAAACAAAACAAATAGAGTAATAATAGACTATCATCCAAATTAATATGATATCAATATGAAACTATTTCAACGACCAATTCCTGCAAAGTTTCACATTTTATTGTGATTAATTTCACGTTTGCTTATCGAATGAACTCAATATTGATTTTTTGATGAATTGTCATTGGAATCTGAACAAATATTGTAATTATTGCCGTATTTCCACGAAGAATGGTTTTCATATAACATAGAACATATATAAATCTAATCTGAAACCTTACATGTATATTTGAAATTCACGCAGAAAAAATAATTAATTATTAACGTTCATGCAACTTGTTTTTAAAATCGATGCAACGGATCTAGGTTCGGGCTCAAATCCAATCATGAAATGGAGTAGAGACTCGAAATATCTAGCTGTTGTCGGAAATAATGGCAATATTTTCGTTTATGATCGAAATGGAAAGAAATTAATCTCAGTTCCAATTACATATCCAAAATTCTTGGAGTGGGATTCACAATCCAAGTATTTAATAGCTTCCAGCTCAGATACAGCCGAATTATGCGTTGTTAATGTACAAACAGTTGAAATCAGTCAAATTGAAGCACCATTTATACCAACATGGCTACAATGCTCTAAAAGAAACTCATTTCTCGCAGTAGGATCAGACAAAGGAAAATTTTGGATTTGCGATTTGAATAGTCAACAGTCTCAAAACTACCAAGGTACACATGATAGCGCTATTGTTGATGGTGCATGGAATTCTAAGTCACATTTAGCTCTTTGCTCAGCAGATCAATCAATATCAGTTTCAGATGTAAAAGGAAAGGTTCTCGCACGTCAAGATATCGGAGACACACCTATATTCCCACAATTCATTACAGTCGATAGTACTTTAACCCTTGTTTTCGCAAGTTCAAATTCTCCAACTTTATATTTCTGGGAATACGTCAACGGAACTGCTCCACAGAAGCTTGCATTCGAGCAGAGCTTAGGCAAAATCATTAAATGCATTACATTAACGAATTCTCTCGTTTACGTTCAATTTAGTTACGGAAAATTCTATCTTGTCAACTTTGATTCAGAGATTGTTGTACAGAGACATGCATTTCCATCATCAGTTTCATCTGCTGATTCCATTCATACAAAAGCTCTCGTTGGTTCCGGTCCATCTGTTAAATTAATCAATTTAGATGATCCTAAGAACATCATTGATGAACAAATACACTTCCCTGATGATGTTAATGGCGATGTTACCTCAATTTCTTTAACATCCGATGGTTCTTTGGGTTCTGTTGGAACAGATGATGGAGTTGTTCTTGTTTACTTAGTAGAAGTACCGATTTTGAGCGCTTCTAACGGAACAATATGCGTTTACAGTCAATCTTTGACTTCTCTCGCTGTTTATGACATGCACAAGAAAACAACAAAGTCAATCAATGTAGATTACCAACCGCAGAAGCTTGGAATCTGTCCAAAGATAGTAGCTTCATCATTCAACAACAAATGCTACTTCTACGATTCGAAATCTTGTGAATTAATTTCTCAAACTGAGCTTTCAGCGACCATTGACTCAATACAAGTTAGTGAAACAGCTTTTGCAGTTCTTATGGGCGGAAAAGTAATGCTAAACTATTTTGATAAATCGAAGAAACCATTCACATTTCCAGATTTCGACACCAATGCAAAAGTAACTTCATTTTGCTTGACAGCTCCACTCCTCTTATTAGCCACAGACGATGGAACAGTCAGAATCTTCAATGTTCGCAATCAAGCATTTCTTGATGGCTACAAACATCCAAATCCTATCATTTCCATCCGTGCAAATGGAAGTGAAACAAGATTTATCTTCATTGATTCAGCCCACGGCATCTTTATTTTTAATCCAATAAAGAGGACAACATTAGAAGTTACAACATCAACGAATGGCAAGCAGATTGATGCTTCCACAGCAATGTTTGATATGTTAGACCGCTCTGTTTTTGCTGTTTTCGCTCCAAATACAGTTGCTGTTTATCATATCACCGACCACAACGTTTCCGGACCAGAACTTAAGCAGCTATGCACTGCTGAGATCTCAAACTTAAAAGCTCCACTCGGAATTTTCGATGGAACCCTCATTTTCCTCGATGCCCAATCAACTGAACAAACTTTCATCATGCCAAGCCACAACAACATCGGAAAGGATACTCCTGATAGTGTTAGACAATTACTAACAATCCACAGGCACAGAAAAGCTCTTCAAGTTGCATTGAAAATTGGAGATAAAAGTTTGATCAAAGAAGTTGCAGATTCCGCTTTATCTGCCTTAGCAATCGAGATTGCAGCTGATGCCTATGCTTGCTGTGGCGATGCATGCAATTACAGCATCTTAAATCCCATCAAAAAAGAAGAAGAATATTCATTTTTGAGGGGATATGTTTCTATGCTAAACAAAGATTTCAATGGAGCTCAGAAGTCATTTTTGGAATCCAGTAGACCAGAAATGGCTTTAGACATGAGATCAGCTCTATTGCAATTCGATTCCGCTCTCCAACTCGCTGAAAAATTCGATCCATCTCGAATTCCTCAGCTCAGTTACGAAAGTGGCCGCCAGAACGAATTAACAGGCAATTATTCACAAGCCATACAGCAATACAAAGCAGCATTGACGACTCCTGAACTGAAGAAAGGAAGTAGATCAGGAATTATCAGATGCATGATTTTGGCAGGAAAGGTTGAACAAGGAATGAAACAACTTGAGAAAACTAAAGACACAAATTTAGTTACAGAATGCGCAAGAATATTGGAGAGATTATCTGCTTTCTCGCAAGCAGCGCAACTGTATTCTCAAGTCAGCCAATTCAACTCTGCCGCACAATGTTATGTTCGCGCGAATGACTTGAATTCTGCTGCAAATTTAGTTCCAAAAGTCGATGACTCGAAAGTTTTGGTTTCTATTGGTAAACAATTAGAAAGAGCTGGCCAATTAGAAGCTGCAACAACAGCTTTCGAACGTGCTAATGACTGGGAATCATTAGTTAGAGTTTTACTAAAAGTCAATCTCGACAGAGCAACAGCAATTGCTCGTGCACATCCAACAGCAGATGCTTGCAGAGCTGTTGCAGAACATTGCATACAACTCGGCAATTTCAGATATGCAATAGAGTTCTTGATCATTGCAGGAAGAAACGAAGACGCATTTAGAATTGCCGAATTGCACCAGAAGATGGATGAATTGGCTGATTTAATTGGCGACAATGGAACAAAGCAACAATACGATGCTTTGGCAACATATTTCTCTGCAAGAAATGACAACATTTCTGCAGCGAAATTCTATGCAAAGAGCGGTGATCCAGAACGCGCAATGAACTGCTACATGGCTGATGGAAGCCCTGAAGCTTTGGATGGTGCTTTGGATCTCGCAGAAAAGGTCGAAAACAAGACAATCAGAGATATATTATTGGACTATTTGTCAGCAAATGTTCAATCGAAAGATTTGAGATATCTCTTGAGAATGTTTATCATCATGAAACAGTTCAACGAAGCAGCTGTTACAGCCATGAGAATAGCTGATGATTACAGAGAAAGAGGAGAATACAGGCAGTCAAGAGATATCTTATTTGATATCTATTGCCAGCTTGAGAAACATAATCAACAGATTTCAAGTGAAATGAAACAAAGTTTGATGATCATTCACTCGTATTTGTTGATTAAACCAATGAAAGAATATGATAGAACTATTTCTGCTTTCTTACTTAGAAGAGTTTCCAAGTTTGCTTCTAAGTTCCCTCAACACGCTGCAAATATTTTGGCATCAACAGTTGTAGAATGTTCGCGTGCTGGATACAAGAAATCTGCATACGAAGCTGCAACAAAATTAATTTCTCCTGAATATGAAGGAAAAATTAATCCTGATTTGATGAAGAAGATCGTTCAAACAGTCAGACATAAGAACACATCTGAAGCTGCTGAACCTACATCTCCATGCCCTGTTTGCGGTGCTGATATTCCTATCTCTGAATTGTATTGCGCTTCTTGCAAGACAAATATTCCTTACGATGTAATCACAGGAATGCACATGACAAAGGATGATTGGTGTCAGTGTCCAAACTGCAAATTCCCATCTTCTCACAAGTTAATGGGTGAGTTAAAGACATGCCAGATTTGTGGAACTCATGTTGAAACTCCTGAATTAATACCAAATCCGAAGATTGTTTAAAATTTAATTTTTTTTATTATATTTTTTAAATTTTTTTTATAAAATTAAGCAACATAATATTTCGGATTGGAAACATTTTAAGCTCACAAGCATCATGAATTTGAAGATTATTGGGATCTTGAGGATTGCTTGGAGCCTGGGGGTAAAAACATTTATGAACAAAATAATTCTATTCCCATACTGGAAATTTATTTAATTGCGCTACAAAGCATTTGAAGTTCCTCAAGTTATTCATTCTTTTTTTCAAGTGTGAGATTGGCCGGTATTGACCCTTAATATAAAACAAATACAATAATTTTATATTGATATTAACAAACAATTATAAAATAGTAGTTGTGACACATTTTAATTGTCGTTTGAATATTAACGTGGTGTTGATGGAACTACAGTTGTTTTCCTTGCTGATTTGGGTCGAGCAATTGTCTTTGCTCCAGAACTTTGCTTAGTACCAAGAACTGATACTGATTTTTTATTGACTTGAGCAGTGTTTGCCAAAGAACTTGAGCTTTTTTGTTTCTTGAGTTTTGTTGGAATGTTTTCGTTAAATATGTTTGAAAACTTTTGTTGGGATGTTTGAGAGTTCTTAATTAATTCATCCAAACTAATTAACAATTCTTCTCTTTTTGCTTTGATTCTTGAGAGTTCTTCCTCTTTACTCTTGCATCCGGGACATTCCTTGGCCTTTTCCTCATTGAGTTTTGTGTATAAACTTGATATTTGCCTTAAACAGTCTTCTTTTTCACCATCAAGTCTTGACATTTCTTGTTTGAATTCTTGTTCACCTTTTGCTAAGTCATCTTGATACTCTTTATTATAAATTTCCAAGTTCTTTTGTCTTTCAATCTTGAGTTCCTCTAATCTCCTTCTCATTTCATTCATATCTTCTTCGTGTTTTCTCTCCATTTCTGCATCATCTTCATCAAACTTTTTCAATGGAATTTTAATTGCTTCTTTGAGTTTTTCATCAGTATTCAATTTACTATATTCTTCAGCATTTTTGAGGCGCTCTTGTGCGTTTTTATGTTTATCAATAATTATCTGCAGTTTCTTCTCCAAGTCTCTTCTTTCCTGCTCACAGGAGTCAGAGAATTTGTTGACACTGTTTTTCTTTTCATTCAATTCTTTTTCTAAAACAATTTTTCTTTCAATAACTTTTTCTTCGATTGTTCTTTCGAATTGTTTGTTAAAATTATTGAGCTCGTTTTGGAGGTCATCAGTTATTGATTTGGCTGTCTCATATCGAACATTCATTTGAGTCATTTCTTTCTCAATATCTTTGATCTTCTTTTTATTTTTCTTTATCAAATTTTGTTGTTCCAAAATTTGTTCAGCAAAAACCGGATCTCCTTGTAATGCCAAATCTTCAGGCTTAATGATCTTATGCTTTTCAAGTTCTTTTGTTTCTTGTGTCATAGCTTGTATTTTTTGGTTCAAACTTTCTATTTTTTCTTTCAAGATTTCGCGAGATTTCACGATTTCATCAATTTCCAACTTATTATCACTTTCTATTGTAGCCTTATGTTCATCGAACATTTGGTTCTTCTCATCAGCAAATATTTTATATTCTTCTTGATGTTTCTTATGCAATTTTTCAAGATCATTTTCTATTTGTAAAATACTATTTTGATAAACTTTTATCTTTTCTTTTATATCTTGTAATTCCTTCTGACATTGTTCATTTGCTTCAGCGACACCAAGAGCATAACTTCTTTCTGTTTCCATTTTCTGCTGCATATCCATTTTATAAGTAATTGTTGTCATCCTTTGATCATGTTCTTCTTTCATTCTAACTTTTTCTGCTTCAAGTTTTCTATTTAATTCATCCATTGATTTGTTTTTCATATTTGCAATTTGCTGTCTTTCATATGTATACATATCAACAATCTTTCTTATTTTCTCGGAGTGTTTCTTTTCTCCATTTTTCAGCTCTTCTTGCATATCAGATATTTTTCTATTGAATTCTTCTTTTAGTTCATCAACAGATTTTCCTCTTTTATCTAAAAGCATCTGTAATTCATCTTTTTCTTTTCTTAGAACTGATTGAAGTTTCGCTCTTTTGTTCTGATGGAACTGATTTAACTCAATTATTTTTAATTCCCCTTCTTCTGTTGTTACTAATGATGCTTTTCGAAGTTCTTCTAATGATATACTTCTCTGGTGTTCAAGAGTTTGTATTTCTTGTGTAAGACTTAAGACTTTCGGTTGATATTCAGCTGTAATATCTGCAACAGCGTTGATAATTTGACGATTTGTTTCGATTTGAGCATCACGGATTTTTTGTTCTTTTGATTTCTTTGATTCTTTGACAGCGTAATCGTGTTCAAGCTGAATATTATCTATGTCTTGTTGTATCTTAATACATTTCCTTGTTTCTTCATCTAGGACAAAAACTTGGTCGTTGTAGAGTTTTGAGTATTTTTTGAGAATTTCATCTTCTTTTCTCTTTAATTTCTCATGTTGTTCTTTTTGTATTTCTTTCAGGCGGTTGCTTTCGAATTCGGTAAGTTCTATTGCTGTCTGTAGTTCAGTTTTGAGGTTTTCGAGTTCTTGTAATTTTAATTTTTTTTCATCCTCAAGTTCTTCTTTGAAATCACGCTCTTTTACTCTGTACTCGTTTGCTTTTTGTGTAAGTTCCACGTTTTTGAGTTGTGTGAACTGTTGTTTTTTGTTGATTTTCATTTTTAAATCTTTTTCTAGATTTTCGAAATCTTGTTCAAGAGCTTTGATCTTCATTCTCCATTGTTGCTCTTGTTCATCAACTTGCCTTTGAAGATCTAACTCGTAATCTTTTTCAATGATTGCTTGTCTTTCTTGATGAGTTTTGAGTTTTTCATCAAATTCTTTCTGTGCTTCCTCTATTTGTCGTTGATAGCGTTCAGCCAATACTTCTTTTGTCTTCTGAAATATGGCTGGAAGCTTTTCCATCTCGGAATTATAGTCCATATTGCGAGACTCAAGCTCACTTTGTATATCTTCGACTTTTGATGCTAGTTTGTTCATTAAATTTTCCATTCTCTTTAGAAATTGCTTTTCAATATTTAAATATTGGGAATCAAGTTCTGCAACAACCTGCATATTATCTGTAGATGAATTAACACCAGATACTGATACAATTATTGTATTTACTATTTCTGCAGCTTGTTCATAAATGTAAGGAATATCATTATCTTCAATATCATCGGGATGATTTGACATTTCTTTTGCAATTTGTGCAAAATCATCTTGTGCATCTTGCAAAATTGTAGCTGGTGCTTCTGGATCGCCTCGACTAGGAGGCAGCATATTTACAAACGTACTTTATTGAAAATTGAAAGGAGATTTTGGATGAACAAATTTGATGAGCTTTAAATTAATATTCAGATAAAACAGTCAATTTATGTTTATTTTGCCGAAGGTGCCATGCTTGTCCTAACGGCAAACGTAGCCGCCTGAGACCAGAAATTATATTATAACAAAATTGATTTTATGGACTAAAGAATCGAGGTAAGTTTACATCTTCACACTGTAGATCATAAAACTTTATTTGACTCTTTCGGACAAAAAGAAACATGAAATATTTGTGATTTTTTTAGAGATTTTTCAGCTTATATCGGCATGTTGCACCACTCTGCGCCGGACAAATGTGTTAAGTAAAAAAGCTTTCTGAATTTACTATTTTCACAAGCTAATTTTGGACATTTTTGTATTGTCACAATTGTTTAAGCAAACAAGTGGCATGAGCGAATTTTTGGAAGACACACTGCACCCATTTTAATATATATATAAGCGAAACAGTTTTCAGTTTTTGCACTATTATGGAATTCTTGATGAAGATTTATAGCTTTCTAAAAACTTACCACGTGGTAATAATCTGCCCTAACTAGATTAAAGAATAAAAAGTTATTAAAAAAAGTTAACTTTATCTTTTGAAACAATGTTTGAGAGATAATAACCAAATATATCAAGAAATTATTTTCTTGCAATTGATAATAAATATTCTTTTACTTCTTCATGCGTAGTATCAAGTACTGTATATCCTTTATTAGTCTTTGCTTCTTTATTAGCTCCGACTGAGATAAGATATTTAACAACCTCAAGATGGCCCCATTGTGATGCTTTAAAGAGTGAAGTAGATCCATCATTAGTCTTTGCTTCTTTATTAGCTCCAATTGAGATAAGATATTTAACAACTTCAAGACGGCCATATTCTGATGCAAAAATGAGTGGAGTATATCCTTCACTAGTGGTTGCTTCTTTATCAGCTCCCATGGAGATAAAATATTTAACAGTATCAAGTTGACAATTTATTGATGCCCATATGAGTGGAGTATATCCATTAGAAGTCTTTGGTTCTTTATTACATCCAACTGAGATAAGATATTTAATGACTTCAAGACGGCCCAATTCTGATGCACAGTATAGAGCCGTAAAACCTCTTCTGCTCTTGATTTCTTTGTCACAGCCACATTTAATGAGAGATTTAACAAGTCTCAGATTTCCTTCATAAGATGCATAATGAAGTACATTTTTACCATCATATCTATCTTCTTGTTTTTTCCAAAGTTCTTCTTGGCATGCTTTTTGCATCATTTTTTGATTTCCTTTTTTTGAAATTTCGTCAAAGAAGTAGTAGATTGTTAAGCAATCTTTAGAATTTTTAAGTTCGGAAATTTTCGAAAGAAATTCTTTTGGGAATTCGTTTTCTTCTTTCTCTTTGAGTTGAGAGTGAAGAATTTGCATTTTTTTCTCAACGTTTTCTTTTTCTTTTTGAATCCGATTTAAATCTGCTTGAAGTTTTTCGATTTTATTTGTTGTAATGGATTGATCCTTTTGTAATTGTTCTAAAATGCCAATAATTCCTTTGAATATTCGCATCTTCATGTACTTTTGAACTGATTTAAGTGTTGAAACGGCATCTTGTAAGTTGTTTATTGAAATATTTGCGTTTTGAGTGCAGGTAAACAATTTTCGTGCTGAAATTACAGAATGAGATTGCGCAAGAAGAGAATTGAAGTCATCAGGTGTTAAATTCGCGAATTTCATGATTGATTTGATATCTTCTACTTCGAATGTGCTAAAGAGATTATTCTCTTCAATATATTTTTTGATATGTGAGCCAATATATTCGTAGTTCAGAACAATTCCCTGACTCATTGAAAAGTTTTTTTATCGTTAAGGGTGCACCCGCATGTACGTTTATTTGAGAGTAGGAGGATTACCCTCTCAATTTTGAATGCTTCGTTAGCGCAATATCTCGATGAATATTGTATTAAAATTGAATTTGCCCATACCAATATATCTGATACAATATCCTTAAGTTTTACTAAAAAGAATTTTTTAAAATCCCTGCAGATTCGGGGATTTTTAAATTTTTTGATTTTTTTCGCAAATTTTTCGAAAAAAAATATTTTCAGAAGAGCCTTAAGGGTGCCCTATAGACGATAGCTCCCCCTCAGAAAAAATAACCTTAAATAAACCAATGCTTTTCGAGACCTATTTTGGTACCTCCAAAAACATTTTTCTCGGCAAAAAATCAAGTTGATGTATTTTGTTTTGTCATCGTAGATACTCTAATTTTCGCCCAGTAATGTTATATAAAAGGAGCTTTTTTGTCGAAATGCAAAACAAAATTGGCCGTTAATGTGGTGAATTATCGATTTTTGGTACAGCATACTTTCTTATCAATGAATAAATGCAGCTACTTGATAAAAGAGTCTTCAAAAGCAACCTTTGAAAAAAAATATTCCTTATTTACATTAAGAGCCGAATACTTTTACGATGAATATTAATAAAATTTGTCGGTATTTATTCTTACAGATTATCAGATCACAAAAGCCAAAAATTGTTTATTATTTTTTTCAGAATAAAAATTTCGAATGTATCAATTATATCAAATACATACATTTTATTCATACATTACAAATGAAAGATTTAATTTTTGAAAAACCTAATTTTTTTCGAAAATCAAATATTTCGGTGTATTATATGCGCCTTTGTTTAAATTATTCGCCAATTCCTCATCACGAATGTAAGATATTTTGGTATTACAAAAGAGAATCCATGAATTGATGTTTTCGTCCAAAATAATAATATTATATTGTCGACTGTGATAAGTTATTATGGCTACTAGTTTGGATTTTACAGCTGGATTGTTATTCCATGTGTAATCATCCAATGGAAACGTAAAAACAGCAACATCAATAAAAAGATAATCTGAAAAAGTAGGAGTAACTTGAAGTTCGTTATTATTAACAAGAGGAATGTCAATTTTATCTGTAAATCCCCAGCAGAATTTTTTGAAATAATCAATAAGATCTAGTTGCCTAGCTTCACATGCAAGCGATTCTTGTAATTGTTTGAAAGCATCAATTGGATCAGCTTGATGTATCTTTTGCCGTTTCGAGTACAGGTGATACAGATAAGTAACATCTGCATTTTCCGAAAAGTTCCGATTTGTGAGCGATAATATTTCTTTGTATATTAACTGTTGCTCATTGGGATTAGAGAATAATTCGTCAAATAGTTTGTGCATTAATGGTCGAAATGTAATAAGTTGAACAATAACGGCAAGAAAACTGAGATTTTTTCCAAGCTTGATACCAAGCTTTTGTTTTTTAGGCTTATCATGAGTTTTTCTGAGTGTCTGTGGAAGTTGTATCAAATCAGGATGAAAATCTGCTATCATTTCAAGAGATGGTGGATTGTGGCTGAGGACGTTAAGATAATTGATTGCGTTTATCTTAATTTTCTCAAAGTTATGAAAATCAGTAAAAGCTGAATTCATAATTTCTTTTGCTTGCTGAGAATCGTAAACTGCAACAGCCGAGATGTTTTCTTCATTAATACGAATTAAAGACGAGTACGTATTATAAAGATCTTGTTTAAATTTGGATAATAAATTTTGGAATTCTTGAGGATCATCTGGAATTTCCTTCGCCTTGAAGAAAAATGAAAACCTTTTCCAATCTGGTGGTACTTTGATATCGGAACCAAATATAGATTTTTTGTTGAATTTTGGATAATCTGTTGGAAGTGAAAGATTTTCAGATTCTGACGGTTCTTCATCCGCTGGCGGATCCTCATCGTCAGTGTATTCAATTTTTTCGGATCTGGATCCATCTTTTGACGGTTTATGAGGAACTAAGTCAGCGAATTCTGGGTCAATTTCATCTGGAATGTAATGAACGCATCTGTTATGATTTCTGTAGTTTTCCGAAGTTCTTCTGATATGGTCATAATCGGATTTATTTTCGAAATTTAATATAACTTGTAAAATATCTTCATCAAAATAAGAATCATCTATACCCATTAATCTTCTTAGTTTTGTCTTCCAATTGTCTTCATTATACGCAAATACAGAAACAAAAATTCTGGCTGGAAATCCAATAATCCAACGAAGATTTTTTGGGACTAAATGGGCTTTCAATGAATTGAAAGCTTCGTTGAAATTTGTATGATATTGTTTGCTGATTCTTAGAAACAATGGAGCAATATTTGTAATAATTTCTCTTTTTTCGATATGCTCTGGTGATTCTCCTGGATATCTATTAATTAATCCCATCCATCTCTGAACCTTTTGCTCTGGTTTTAATGTTGGGCATGCAAAAAGGATCCTAAATATTTTTTCAAATTTAGGATATTTAGTGACAATTTTTGAAAATGCTGATTTTATCACATGATTTGGATCTCTTACATGTGATAATTGTGCACCAGAATTCTCTATCATTGTTGAATCTTTAACATCACCATCTGAACAAAAAACTTTTATTTTTTTCCATAAATCAGATTTCAACATATCACGTAATGCATAGCTTTCCATTAATCCTGGTGAAATTTTTGGTTCAACCAAAATTTTGGGACTTTTGAATTTTATTAATTCTGGATGCCTTGAAACTATTCTAAAATCTAATATTTTGTTTGTATTTATATCTATAAGCGTAATGACGGCATGTAAAGCATCGCGCTTAGAACTCCATGCGCAATCTAATGAAACATTAAATTTGTATTCTGAATCATGTTTAAGAATTTCTTGTATATTAGCTTCACAACTTGCTGTTGCAACTTTCTCAAGATCTGGCAATATGCTCTTTAGATGCGCACGTAATGTAGTTTCTGTTGGGCAATGAAAGTTTAGGAGTGATGCCAATTCGATGTGTTTTGAAAATCCTGCACCAGATATAAGAGAAATGTAAGTATGAAGATTCTTGACAACGTCACTATACGGAACTCCAGGCTTAAACGTTGAATATTGTTTCTTCCTTAACATTTGATTGTGAATGATCTTGTTTTGAATTAAGCTGGTTTAGATTAATGAAATGCGAAAAAGGTTTCTTATTTGAATAAACAGTTCGATGATAGACCCTTTTTTGGCAGTCATCAGCTTTATATGTTATTAATATCTCTTCAATTGTGTATCCTTCCATGATTGGAATAGAATACTCCATAGGAAGAGCTAAAATCCCGCCAAATTTTACGGTTTTTTTAATACAAAAGTAATCAAAGTGAATAAAGCAAAGATATATATTATATTTAATCAGTCAATTGATATTGGGTAGAATATATGCTCAATATTTCATTTTTCAAATTTATTATTTCAAAAAACCAATAATTGGCGACATTGTTTACTGTAATAATTGTTTTTAATGAAAACACTATATGCCTTCCTTATTTTCTTTCTTTTTTATTTTTTTGAAAAAATCAAAAAAACTCGAAAAAAAATCAAAAAATCACAAAATCGATGAATTCTCAACGTAATTTAAATCTTCAAAATCGTAGAGATTGGTCATAATATAACTAAGCATTATGATATGGTAAAGTTCAAAAAATCTCTCTCTTGAACGAGATAAAAGCTTAACAGAAATAACCTTAAAAGTGCTTTTCTGAGGGTGGTCTATCGTCTATAGGGCACCCTTAACGGCTAAGTTTTATGTTTAATGTTGAGTATCAAAAAGAATGGGCGTCTGATATAGCCATCATATATCCCAGAAGCAAATAAAAATTCTGACTTTTTAAGCATAAAAAAATGAAATTTTATTTTTTGCAAAAAACAGGCCACCCGGATGTACGTTTATTTGAGAGGAGGAGGATTAAATTTTTGAAAGCAGTAAAATTTGTAAATATTCTAGTTATATAATATGTATTATTTTTAAAAAATAAAAATTAAAGCACGTTAAAATTTTTTTGATGAATTTTTACAAAAGCTACTTAGGATTATGCAAAATATAGTAATTAAACATAAATTTCAAATCAGATTTTACTTATGATAAATATTTTAAATTTCCGAAAATTAAGTTCAGATCGACTCGATACGTTGTAATTACTAAATAAGGTGCCAAAAACATATTAAACAGTATCAAAACTATCAAGATTGCAATGTTTTTGAAGAAAAATTTATAGAATTATGAACTTCAAACAGATATTATGTAAATAAAAATAATATAATGGATTTGTTTATTCGTATAATAGCAGCAATAAGTCGATTATTCACTTCTACTTCTGAGATTTGAATTTAATTTCGACAGAAAAAGAGATTCAAGAGGAAAATACTAGGGAATACAAACTGCCACCATGACAGGATTATTATGGAGCCAAGTTGTACTTTTTGATATTTTTAGAGTTTTACTACCTATTTAGGTACCAAGTAATTGCTTAAAAATTAAGGTTCTAAATTCTGAAGTTTACATGATCCTCCCGGGCGCACCCTTAAGGGTGCGCCCGTATGTACGTTTATTTGAGAGGAGGAGGATTACCCTCTCAATTTTGAGGGGTTCGTTAGTTTATTTTCTCGATGAATATGCAATAAAATTTGATTTTTACCTTATCAATATACTTCATATAATATACACATGTTCATGTAAAAACTTTTTTCCAAAATCCTCAGGAATTAAGGATTTTTGAATTTTAAGAATTTTTTTCTGTAATAAACAGAAATTCATCAAAAGTGACAGCTCTCAATTTTTTGACATTTGTAAATTCTAAATTGAATGAGAAAAATGAAATAATACTAAGCATAATACAATATTCTAGATTTAATTATAATTAGGAAAAAGTTGGTTTTGAGAGTACTTTTCATAGGCATATAGAATGAAATCTTCTGAAAAATAATATCACATAAACTCATATTATTTTCTAATATATAACTATTTTATATAAAAATCAAATTCAATGATCTTAAAAGCGAAGGATAAACCTCAAAATTTACGAATATAATGAGTGGGAATATTTCATATGGTTTTATGATAGATAAGCATTATATTCCCACTCATTATATTCGTAAATTTTGAGGTTTATCCTTCGCTTTTAAGATCATTGAATTTGATTTTATATAAAAATAGTTATATATTAGAAAATAATATGAGTTTATGTGATATTATTTTTCAGAAGATTTTGTGTTCTTCTTCAAAATTTTATTTTTTTATTAAAAAGAATCTTTACAAAATATACATTTACTTTAATTAATATTTAAAAACGTGCTCTATCAAAAGTTCCAAAAATTCAATATTTTAGCTTTTCTGAGGTGTCACTTTTGATGAATTTCTGTTTACAACAGATATAGACAACATATATCGTTGAAGGTTGAAAAAATCTCTAATATTTGAGCCCAAAATTTCAAATTTTAATTTTTTGAAAAAAGAGGCCACCTGTATGTACGTTTATTTGAGAGGAGGAGGATTATATTTTTGAAAGGGTGAAACATTATGAATATGTTAATTATATAATAATATGTATTATTATAAAAAGAAAAAATAAAGCACGTTAAAATTTTTCTTTCTTGATTTTTTACAAAATCTACTTAGAATTATGCAAAATATGACTAAATAATTATAAATTTCAAGTTAAATTTTAATTTTGATAAATAATTTAAATTTCAAAATATCAAGTTCAGTTCGACTATGTATGTAGTAATTCCTCAATAAAGTGCCAAAACCCTATTAAAATATATGAACATTTTCAACATTTTAATGTTTTTATTTAAAAATTTGATGGAATATGAGCTTCAAACAATTATTATGTAAATAAAAATAATTAAATATATGTATTTATTCGTATTACAACCGTAGTAAGTCGATTCTTCCTTTCTTCTACTGAGATTTGAATTTGATTTCGAATTGTAAAGAGATTCAAAGGGAAAATACTAGCGGATAAAAACTACCTCCATGAAAGGGTCATAATGGAGTCAAGTTGTATTTTTTGATATTTTTTGCTTTTCGAGCCTAAATAGGTAAAAGGCAAACCCAAATTTTAGCTAAAAGTGACAGGAAAAAAAACGTTTAGTATTAAAAAAAAAGACCGATGAGAGCTTCGTTCGAAATATAGAGGGAACTGAGAATGCGCAACCATTCTCAGGGAATATTGGATGCTATTCCCGTTCCCTCTGTATGGAAAATTGAGGTTTTCAAAGGGAGTTAAAATAATATCAAATTTATACTAATTTACTTCAAAATACAAAAGTATTTGACAGCTAAAATTAGTTACTTTAGCAAGCCTATCAATACCCTTTTACGATTATTGTTACTTTTTCGAAATAAAAGTAAAAACAAATTTATACTAATTTACTTCAAAATACAAAAGTATTTGACAGCTAAAATTAGTTACTTTAGCAAGCCTATCAATACCCTTTTACGATTATTGTTACTTTTTCGAAATAAAAGTAAAAACAAATTTATACTAATTTACTTCAAAATACAAAAGTATTTGACAGCTAAAATTAGTTACTTTAGCAAGCCTATCAATACCTTTTACGATTATTGCTACTTTTTCGAAATAAAATAAATTTATTATCAAAAACCTTTTTTCTTAGTAAAAATAAAATGTTATTTTATATCAAGTTTTTATTCATAAATTTTTATAATGTTGTATAAATTTCATTAAAATTTACGTACATATTAAGGTACTTATCTTCTACATATATAATCTTCATTAGATATATACATGATAAATAAAATTCATAAAACATTAAAAATCAAAAAATTAGATGAACCTTGGCAATTAAACTTTATTAAATAATAGTTGTTTATAAATTATATTATATTATTATTTAATATTATTTTGATAATGAAGATTTTATTTTGCAATAATATAAACGAAATTTTTTACCTTATGAACTTTTGATGGAAATATGCAAATTTAAAATAATAAAGAAAGCCGCGAGCGAAGCGATCGGCTTAGTTCGAAGATTTTGATTCAAATCTTTGCTGATCTGTAATTCGCGGAAGCCGCGAGCGAATCGAGCGGCGTAGGTCTAAGATTTTGATTCAAATCTTTGCTTATATTCCTTAAATTCTTTATGAAACTCGCAACAGTTCCATAAAAAATTTTAAATTCTAAACTGTCGAAATTACCGATCGGTAATCACACCCTTCACGGGTGTGTCACTTTTAGCTAAAATTACCCCTACTCGCCAAGATAATGCCTAAAATAAGGTTCTAAATTCTGAAGTTTACATGATCCTCTCGTGTGCACCCTTAATGAAAATTCTTTTCCATCATGTAAACCTCGATGTCACTTTTGCGACCGAGCGGAGCGAGGTCGCAAAAGTGACATCGAGGTTTACATGGATGGGTTCTATATATATACAGCTTGACCGGTAGAAAAGCGGATCGATTTTTATCAATAATTGGACATTCTATTTTTAATAAAATAAACATATATTTATATGGGAAATTAGGGAGATCTGAAACTCAAAAATTATTTTTGAATTTTAATATGATAAATATAATTGTGATAATATGTACATTACAAATAAAATATTAATTCGGAACAACGATGAGATGTGATAAATTTGATTCTCTCAAAAATCGATTTTGGAGTTTTAATATTAATTTGTATCTTATATGCATATAGGATATATAATAATTGTAAAAAATCAAAAAGTGACAATTTGCGGTTAGAAAAAGTCATCAAAACACTTTTTAATGATTTGATTTAACATATGCATAGACCATCTCTTTGATATTTAACTTCAATTTCCCGAAATGAAAAGGATTTGAACAAAAACGATTATTTTACGATCATTTTTTGTAAATTTTTTTAAATTGAGACTGACATCTCTAAAATCATCTAAAAAATCCAAATATCAAATAAAATAATATCATTAAAATTCCTCTCAATTTAAAAAATTTTTATAAATTGAGACTTCAATCTCTAAAATCTTCTAAAAAATCCATATATCACAAAAAATCACGATATTATTTTTATTCTCAATTTCAAAATTTTTTTTGTACTGACTTTCTTTTTGCATAACAGCAAGGCAGAAATTTGAAACGAAGTTTCAAATTTCTCAAGCTTGCATTCTGGGCACGTAAGTGCCCAGAATGCTAAAAGGCGCGTAGCGCCGTCTCTGAATATCAAATTTATTATAATTATTAATTTATGAAATTTCAAATAAAACCGATCTGTTATAACACACTGGTGCATGACAGCCTTGTCATTTAATTCTATCGGCGCTTCGCGCCGATAGAATTAAGAAAGTGTATATATAGAGGACAACACAGTAACTTTTGACATTATGAATTTACAGTAAATTAGCATCCTATATTTATATTTTTTATGACTTAATTTTGATAGTTTTCGTTCAGAAATTTTAATCATATTTTTAGTAAACATTTATTAGTATTCTTCATTATTTGGTTGGCGCTTTGCGCCAACCAAATAGTGAATAATTCAATTTTTCAAAAAATTATTTAATTTGCCCGAAGGGCAAGCGAAGCCACCTGAGGCCCCAAATTATATTTGATCAAATATGTATCTTCACACTGCAGATCAATAAATCAAATGATATGCTTGTGGCGGGCAATGTAATTTTACTAATTAGAAGATAGAATTGTTGTAAACAGAAATTCATCAAAAGTGACACCTCAGAAAAGCTAAAATATTGAATTTTTGGAACTTTTGATAGAGCACGTTTTTAAATATTAATTAAAATAAATGTCTATTTTGTAAAGATTCTTTTTAATAAAAAAATAAAATTTTGAAGAAGAACACAAAATCTTCTGAAAAATAATATCACATAAACTCATATTATTTTCTAATATATAACTATTTTATATAAAAATCAAATTCAATGATCTTAAAAGCGAAGGATAAACCTCAAAATTTACGAATATAATGAGTGGGAATGTAATGCTTATCTATCATAAAACCATATGAAATATCAATTTTTGCTTTACGCCTAATTTTTGACGACAATTAGCAAAAAATGTTAAATGTTAACACTCAGTCCATTTGAATATGAAAAATAAAATTGACTTTGATTAAATGTTTTTATTTATCATGCAATTCTTCTTGCGACCAAAGATTTGAATAAAAGTTCAAAAATAAGATAGCTTAAAAAATAATATACGGTAGTGTTTACTAATAGATGAATAGTATATAAATTCTATTAAAATGGATTTGATCCAAAAAAATATAAAACCAAAAATAATTGTTATAATTTAAATGAAGAAGTAATTTAAAACGATTTTATTTATGATCAAATTTTATATATTTTTGGATCAAATCCATTTAATAGAATTTATATACTATTCATCTATTAGTAAACACTACCGTATATTATTTTTTAAGCTATCTTATTTTTTGAACTTTTATTCAAATCTTTGGTCGCAAGAAGAATTGCATGATAAATAAAAACATTTAATCAAAGTCAATTTTATTTTTCATATTCAAATGGACTGAGTGTTAACATTTAACATTTTTTGCTAATTGTCGTCAAAAATTAGGCGTAAAGCAAAAATTGATATTTCATATGGTTTTATGATAGATAAGCATTACATTCCCACTCATTATATTCGTAAATTTTGAGGTTTATCCTTCGCTTTTAAGATCATTGAATTTGATTTTTATATAAAATAGTTATATATTAGAAAATAATATGAGTTTATGTGATATTATTTTTCAGAAGATTTCATTCTATATGCCTATGAAAAGTACTCTCAAAACTAACTTTTTCCTAATTATAATTAAATCTAGAATATTGTCTTATGCTTAGTATTATTTCATTTTTCTCATTCAATTTAGAATTTACAAATGTCAAAAAATTGAGAGCTGTCACTTTTGATGAATTTCTGTTTATTACAGAATATGCATTACAAATACCTATATATTATGAATATCAAATTAAAATAGGAAATTTCATAGATTTTTTCATTTTGTCCACAAAAGTGAGTTACTGTGAAATTTCGGTAAAATTATGACATCTAAAATTTTTGATTGATGTCCATGGAAGAAATTAACCAAACTCATTATGACAAATTGATGGAGATTCATACGGGATATAATGATGTCTTCGATGCTTTGTACAGGCTGAAAACAAATGACGAAGAAAAATTAAACGCAATTTTCAAAAAAATCAAACAAAACCTGATTGACTCTTATCAAATTCCGCCTGATGCGATAATCACTGAAATATCCCAACTTTCAATTTATAACAACCGCTACATGAAGTCATATTTAGTGATTGCCAAACAAATTGTTGACGAATACCATCTAAATCATGTCAACGAAATCAACAGAGTTTTCAATTACCTTTTCTACAAAGAATACAATATTGTATTGAATGAAAACGGGCAAAAAAGTTTTAACGATTTTGAAGATTCTCATTATTCATCTGATATTCACAACCAAAAAACAATTCACAGATCTATTATGGATGATGACAAAATAGCATTGATAAATTTTACAGAAAAAGAAGGATTTGATAAAGATCAAAAATTAAAAAGTTATTTATATCCATATTCAAGAGTAGGTTTTTCGTTACTTGAATTATGTTGTTATCATGGATCTGTTGATTGTTTTAAGTTTTTAAGAACGAAATTTCAATCAGAAATCAATCGAAATTGTCTTAGATATTCTTTTTTGGGTGGAAATCCAGAAATTATGAATGAATGCTTGAAAGTACAAAAACCAGATGATGTATGCATGGAATATGCAATTATATCACATAATATTGATTTTGTCACATTTTTGATGAATGAACACAATATAAAAATTGATTTAAATTTGTGCTCTAAATACAATAATCTTCAATCATTTTTAGTTTACTTGGATCAAACAAATGACATCAACAAATGTTTTGTTTATTCTCCGAATTTCCATCTTTCATCACTTTTAGAATATTTTATTTCAAATGGTGCAGATATCAATGCTAAAGACAGAATAGGACTCACCCCTCTTCACTCTGCAGCCAAGAATAACAGCAAAGAAACTGCAGAAATTCTAATTTCAAATGGTGCAGATATCAATGCTAAAGACAGAATAGGACTCACCCCTCTTCATTATGCAGCCAAATATAATAACAAAGAAATTGCAGAAATTCTTATTTCAAATGGTGCAGATATCAATGCTAAAGACGAAGATGGATCTACCCCTCTTCATTATGCAGCCATGAATAACAGCAAAGAAACTGCAGAAATTCTAATTTCAAATGGTGCAGATATCAATGCTAAAGACATAATAGGACTCACCCCTCTTCATTATGCAGCCATGAATAACAGCAAAGAAACTGCAGAAATTCTAATTTCAAATGGTGCAGATATCAATGCTAAAGACATAATAGGACTCACCCCTCTTCATTATGCAGCCATGAATGACAACAAAGAAACTGCAGAAGTTCTTATTTCAAATGGTGCAGATATCAATGCTAAAGACGGAGATGGATCTATCCCTCTTGATTATGAAGAGCGATGGACTCGTTCTTGTAGACGCATAAAACAAGGCCTTCGAAATTTAAACTAAAAAAAAATTATATTTTATTCTTCAAACAAATAATTATTTGCGCATACATTGAGAAATAACTAATTTCGATACGAAATCCTCAACACAATCCTTGTTTAATTTTTCGTTCTCATTCCGAGCTTACGTACTCGTTTATTCATTCTTGTTTGCCAATCACTCCAAATCACTTGATTTTATAATAATATTATAATACTTTTAATGAGCCAAAAATTAATTTCTCTAGTTTCTAGCCAGAATCAATATAGAGTTCTTAGACAAAAGTGAAACAACTAACTGTTAAGTTATAATTCTCCTATTCTGGTTGGGTGCTCTCATTTTCAGTATTATATGACCATCTTGCACATCACTTCCATTAAAGGAGTTTATGGTATCGAAAAATATCAAATTTCCCCACCTAAACTCATTTTGTTTATACAGAGTAAAATTTCTAAAAATTTGGTCTGAAACTCTGGCTAGAGATGATGCAAAGCTTATATATGTAGATTAATGATCTGATAAAGTTTTGATATTAGATGTATAATTATAAAAATTATTTTGTTCAAAAACACACTTTAAAATAAATAAAATCAAGCCTTATTTGCTGCGTTGGCAATTAAAGTTGCCAATGATTGGGCGCTTCTGCATCTCTGGAATGTCTTTGTTGAAGAGAAGTGCTTTAACTCGTCAATTCTCTTCTGAATCATCGAAGCGATTTCGAAAGAGTTCTTTCCGAATATTTTAACGCATTCGTGACCATTTATAACTTTTTCAAGGGAATTCTTCACAATTCCGATCAATTTAGTAATATTTTCTTCGAAAGTTGGTGTTATTTCATCAGCTCCAATACCAATTACTATAATCTCAGCAATTGTAACTGCATACTGAACATCAGTGATTTTTTCATCGGCAATTTTTCTTGCAACCGTTGGGAAAAATCTTGGAGTTACTTCTGCCTCAATCCAGTCGAAAAGGACCTTTTTGATTGGAAACGCTGCGAGTTCCTTGGCGATAGAAGCTGCCCTGATGATACAGAATGACCATTGTTGCATGGAAAGCATCAATGAAAGATATGTTCTGCATAAGAACAAAGAAACGAAGCTGTCGTATCTTTGTAATGTCTTATACATATCATTCGATATTTTGGCATCGTTTGCGGCCGTTGCAATGATTGCCTGCAAATCTGCCAATTCTTGTTTGATTTTAGAAGTGTTGTCGAAGATTGGCTTCAAGCGAGTCTTCTCGTCTACACTTTTCTCAGTGTAAGGAATGAATTTCTGGGTCGGATCGTCGTAAACTGTCGGATAAAGTAGGAAATATCCGACATCAAGGAACTTATCGGCCTTGTTTGTAGTGGTAACCAGTTCTAAATAGGCTCCACCAACTTCCAATGCATCTTCAAATGACGATAGCGAGATAACCTGAACAATTCCCAAAATTTGTTCTCTCGAAAAAGCGTCGAGAACGAGAATGATGTTTCTTTTCTCGACCATCAGTGTCGCGGGGTCCTTCTTTTGTATGCTGCCGATGACTTTTGCGAATAAATTCGCTCTTCCTGCATCAGATAATTGTTGTGGTTCTGGAATCTGCTGCAATTGCATCGGGATGGCGTTGGACGTGTAGTATGAGTAGTGGGAAATAATATCTGCGAGAGGGGATTGCGACATTCCCACGTTTTCGAGATCAAATGGAACTGATTTCGCTAAATCAAGAAGAGGGAAGATCGGAGTTACGTCTTCCTTCTTTTCGAAGACCCTGTTAATTTTAGGAAGGATCTTGGAGAGTAATAATTGGTTTCTCCTGAAATAAGACAATTCTTCTGCTTCTTGGTCTTCTGTTGTTGTAAGACGATGGGGAATGACAGGACGGAAGAGCTTAGGACGAAGCTCGTAAACTCCTGTAACTCCATCGGAGCAACTGTAGTAAAATGAGTCGGCGCGATGATATCCAGCGACCATCTCAAGGATTTTAGCTCCAGGAGATGGAGTAACTTTCGTAAGACAATGATGTGGTGGATATTGGTTGTTAATGTTCCAAATTGCGATCGATCCGTCGTATGATGATGTAAATAAGAAATCTGCGCGATGATTTGAGAATTGTATGCTGCTGACTTGATGGTCGTGGCCTTCGAGAACAAGAAATGGCTTTTCGAAGCCAATACGGAGATCCCAAAGTTTGACACTGAAATCTGACGAAGTGGTGGCAAGTAATGGTTGAACAATGGGTGAGAATTTGACAACAGAGACAGGTGAGAAGTCCGATGTGATGTTGAGCTCTGGAGCATCTTGTTTCGATCGGAGATCGACGATTTTGACATATCCGCCGTAAGTGCCAACCGCAAAGGTTTCGCGTAAAATCGGGGATATGTCGAGTGATGATATCTGGAATCCGCCTCCATACCCGCCGTTTTTGAGCTTTTGGCGAGTTATATCCCAATTAAACCAATTTGTACCCATAATTGATACGAATGCCTGCAGATTGCGCCATGTGTATGATACTTGGCGAACTGCCGTTGATACAGGGCCTGTAATTGGTGGCGGTGGTGGATTATTTGAATTTATTTGTTTCATAACATCTGTATGATCGAAAAAGAATGTTTGTTCGGCTTTAAATGGTGTTTCTTTCTTGCATTGCTCATAAAACTTGTCAACACTCTTTTTGGCAATTCTGCTTTTATCATCTTTGAATTCGTCATAAGGAATGACAGAAAACTCTTTGTTAGCCCATCCTTCGACTTTTGTATCGCATGAGAAGAACCTAATGACAGGTTCTCCCAAATCTTTTGGCTGTTCTTGAACTGGAAGAGCCATTTGCATAAAATCATCGATGTTCTGTGCACGAGATGCTAATGAAGCGTTAGTTGTATACATCATAACACCTTTTGTCGTTGAAACTAAAAGATTATCTCTTGAACTTGCAATTGAAGTCGGGCGGATGTTAAGATTGCATGAACCGATTTCGTTGTACTTGTATGCACCATCTAAAGAGTATAATCTGCAGTTGCCAAGTGCATCTACATAATATGACAAAGGAAGTAAATAATCAGCGACAATCTTTTGTGGAGATTTAATATTTTGGCATACAGAATTCTTAACATATTCATTGTGGAGACCAAAGTAGTTTTCTGCTTTAGTTCTCCATAAAGAAATATCTTTCTGCATTTATGGGCTGTCTCACTTTTGTGGACAAAATGCAAAAACCTATGAATTTTCCTATTTTAATTTGATATTCATAATATATAAGTATTTGTAATGCATATTCTATCTTCTAATTAGTAAAATTACATTGCCCGCCAAAATCAAAAATTTTCTATTGAAAAAATAGCGCCAAGTCCAAAAGTGTCATTTTCTCATTGAAGACCGCAGCTGGAGTCAATGCCGAAATCACTTGCTGATGTGGATGGAACAGCACTATGATTGGCCAGATCAAAGGCTGTGTAGCATCCCAGCAAGTGGATAATCGGCATTGACTCCAGCTGCGGTCTTCAATGAGAAAATGACACTTTTGGACTTGGCGCTATTTTTTCAATAGAAAATTTTTGATTTTGGCGGGCAATGTAATTTTACTAATTAGAAGATAGAATATGCATTACAAATACTTATATATTATGAATATCAAATTAAAATAGGAAAATTCATAGGTTTTTGCATTTTGTCCACAAAAGTGAGATACTGCATTTATGCGGAAAAGGTGTCAATCTAAAAAAATTTATAAAAAAAGTTTGCCCATCTTAAATTTTATATGATTTGATAGACAATAAGCACTGGATAATAATTTAAGAAATAAAGTTGAGAATTTGAAATTCTTATTGAATTTTCAATTCATGATTTCCTTCTCTGAGCTCTAAGAGTATGATAATGGATAATCTTATTAGTGATTTGCTACTTGTGCTCAATTTTAAAAGATTTTAGTTTTATATACAAGATCTTTTACATAGATTATATAGATTGATTGATACCATCTAAGAAAATATGTTGAAAGTATCATACACTAGAAATACCATAAATTCTCATTAAATTCACTTTCAAATAACTGTTATTATACAATATTGACCTATTCAAAATTCATATTTAGTCTAAATTCTTTAAAAACAAACAATAGATAATAGGATTTAATGTGGAGAATTATAATGTTGAATAAATTTTTCAATCGGCATCAAACCTTGGACAGCATTAAGGTATTGACCGAATATATTGCTTTCACCAACATATTTAACTGAATTCTGGAATGCTTCTGGATTAACTTGGAATAATTTCTGATGATATCTGTAGAACAACTTGAAATAGAATTGTGCGTCCTCTTTTGTTATTTTAAGATCTCTAAATAAGATCTCAAATGATATAAATCTTGCTTCTGCGAAGATCGGAAGCGCATCTGGGATTTTTTCAATGAAAAACGGCATAATTGTTTCCAAAGCCAGTTTGAAAATGTCAGCTCTGCAGAAGAAATCAACAATTGTGTCAAGGTAATTAAGTTTGTCTTCATCTGGAACAAAATTATCGAAAAATTTTACTATAAATGAAGCCAAATAGCTATGATAAGTATAGAATAGGTCTTGGTGTTTTGGATCACAAGCAACTATCTGATTAGCAATCAATTTGAACAGGTCGATGATGTAATTTTGAATATCTTGGTCTAAAGGAAGCTCCAATGCGGCTTTAAGTAAATTAATTCGGACTTTCACCTTATTCCACTCATATCTGATCGAGTCCCATATCATTGGAAAGGCTTCGTAACCGAAAATTTCGGTTGATGTGAGAATTAATTCAGAAATATACGCTTTTTGCTCAGCAACCAATGAGAAGAATTTTGTGTAAAGGGATTTGATAGCATCGTATGGTGTAAATTTGATTTTTTGTAGAAAATCAAATCCATATTTAAATAATTTGTCTTCATCATCATATTCTGCATTGATAATAGCCTCAAAACATTGAGTAAATAATGTGTCCTTGATATCCTGGTCTTGAATCTTTGCTATTAATGTACAAGATAAATTAATTGAATCTTCAGATCCGAATTGGAACAATTTCTCGATAATCGTTGGTATATCGTCCTGTAGTTGACTTATGTAGTCCGAACTTGTTGATTCTAGGAAATTTTTCAGTTGTGTCAAAATTTCTTTTCCTTCAAAAGTAGAAATTAAGTTTTCGTCGGCAAAAAGTGTATCAAACGCTTTTTTGAAAGCAACCTCACCACATTCTATAACTCCTTCGAACTTTTCTGTTTTATTGTCGAATAAACTAAGATATTCCGAATAACACCTCAATCTTCTTGTTGTAAAGATGTCATTACGCATGAAACCGGATAAATCCTTTATCAAAAGTGCCATGTCTTCAAAATTTCTTGATTTATCGTAATAATTTGATAAACCAATTACAATCATCTCTTCTTCGTTAACATATTCATCGTTATTGATTATTTGTTCGAGGATATCTTCAAGAAGACAATAAACTGGTCGTTTATTGGTATTAGGATTTTTATTTACAAAAGCAAGGTTATACATGCTAGTTAAGTTGGTCATTATATTAGAAATGGATCTTTCGAAGTCTGGTGGGTCTTTTGCCTGCAAAACCTCACTGAAACAACGAATTTCAAGTTCGATTAACTTCTGACAATCATCTTGATGGGATTTTGCGTATGTAACGATTGAATCTGGCATCTTTCTTGCATTTGGGCATCTGATAATTGAATAAATAAAAGCATAAGAATATTGATCCCAAAATCTCGTGAAAATGTCATCAAGTTGACAGATTTCGATTAAGCAATCAACAGTAATCAAGAAATCATTAGTCTTCAGGTCTTCTTTTTGTAAAATTCTCATAATTATATTGTCAAGTTCGAAATAATCAATATATTCAACAAATTCTGCTGCAGTAATGCTCCTTTTGAGAAGTGACGTGATACATTTAAGCGCGAGAGCTGTTGTTTGAGGGTTTTCTAAAAACATTTTAACAGCACTTCGAGCAGACTCTAAATTCAGTAGGTTTATATCGACCCATCTAATAAGTGATGCTAGGCATTCTAAAAATTCTATATTTCCGTCGTTAATCTTTTTGATAACAAAATCTAGTAATTCTGATTGAGTTCCGTCAATATTAAGGTCATTAATGAATGCATCATAGTCATATCTCGTCATGTACGGCCTGATTACTAAGGAATTTTCAATTTCAAGAATAAATTTTAAAGAATGTTTTGGATTTAAAGTGGAAAGCGATGATAAAATTAGTTCCTTATGATTGTATATTTTGCTGTTGTACGCATCAAATATGAGTTTTATCCTGATCTTGTTAATTACAGTTTCAAATTCGATATGTTCGGTAAATTTAGAGTTTTCGATTTCAAAAAAGAATATTTCTTTTACTGACTCAATGGCGCTTATTTTTTCTTCTTCATTTTGAAAATGTATCCATGTTATTCCTTGGAGTAATAATAAATTATTGAATATATCCAAAACTACATTGAAAGATTCAAATGTCTTGCACTGCATTACATTGTTGAGAGCAAAAAATAGTCCTTCTGAAGATTCTTTTAATTTCTGGATTTTTACGTAATAATATAAGCTACTTTGCTTTTTTGCTACATTAGCATCGATAATATCTAATGTCATCTCAAAGTTTTCGTTTTCAATATTAAATGCATTGCTTTTATCATTTTCCATTTTTTTGAAAAAAAAAAATCATCTTTATTTTATGAATCAATACATGAATAATAGAGTTTTGACACCAAAACTATATGTGTATAAACTCTTTAGAATAAAATCTTTGTAGCTTGGGTCTAGAAATTGATTGAAGAACTTTTTTGACTCTTGAAGATGATGGTTTATCTTGATCTTCTGATATCTCAATTTTGTACATATGATAAGATTCTTTGTGCAAAATAGAATCAAATCTCTTATATAAGAAGCTTACTTTCATAATTCGAACAGGAATTGAAATTGTAAATATGAAGCTGAATGATCGAAACAATGGCAAAATTTGCTTTTTAAGTGTAATATTTTGAAAGTGGATCAAATAATAGTCAGTAATACCATTCAGTCGTTGTTTTTAAATTTGGATCAATAATTGTTTGTGCTCAAATCAATTTTAGGCAAGAATCCTAAAATAAATTTAAAATACACAAAATGCTTTAAGAATGCACCTACGTCTGACTGACTTTAATTCAAATTTCTGACAACAGAAATGAAACGTAATTGAATAAAAGGTGGTAAAATTCAATCAATGGATATTCAATTCTGAATTTTCAAAATTTTGCGAATGCTACTGGTAATGTAATTGCTATAAAATCTTTTATAGAATGATTTCTGTCTTCTTATATCAATGATTGATTAAAACCATCAGATCAAGTGTTTGTGAGCGACTAATATAATTCACAATCGATGCAATTATATTATCAATTTTATCACTACTTTTTATTCTGTGGTAAATAAATTTTGAAACATTTCAAGGTCAGTTCATTTTTTTTCCCCTTATGCTTGGTGATGCTATTATCGTAGATGACAAGAGAAGCCTTACTTATACAGGTTTGAGTATTACAGGAATCCAACAAGATACATTTCTTTCATTTACAATTAAGCAAGAATTTGTAAACAACACAGGTTGTCAAGCAGACATTATATATTTCATGCCAAGAGAACTACGTTTCGGCACGTATGATCCAACATTCATTGTTGACGAAAAAGTTATCAAACCAATTCTTCGATCAAAAGAGGAAGCCATGGAAGAGTTTGAGGAAGCAAAAAGGGATGGATATATGGTAATGATTGGTCAATATGCCGGAAATGGTCTTGATTCATTCGGTTTGGGAAATATCGAAGCGGACAAAAAAGTTGAAATTCAGTTGAAAATTTCATTCTTGGCAGATATTAATGAAAAAGGATATATATACAAATTCCCTCTTACTTACAAAAACCAAGAAGGTCGTGTTACATATGCTATTCCAAATAATTTCGAATTTTCGACAACAATTAAGACGATGAAAGAATTGAAAAATGTTCATGTCACTGCTAATGGAACTATGAATATTGTTGATGGTCACAATGCCACTTTCGTTACAAAAATACCTCCTAAAGAAGATGCGATTATTATTGAAACTTTAATCAAAGATGAAGACAAAAACATAGCTGTTTCGAGTGATGGTTATATTTCTATTTCTACATATCCACAATTCGAAGGAAAAGTAGAACAAAAATCAGAATTTTATTTCATAATCGACTGTTCAGGTTCAATGTCAGGCTCACGTATTGGAAACGCAAAATTCTGTTTGAATATACTGATTCATTCCCTACCAATCGGGTGCCGATTTTCAATTATTCAATTCGGCGATTCATATAAAGAAACTGTTTCAATATGTGATTATTCAAATAGAAATGTCAGAAATGCAATGAGCGCAATAGCTGGTATCAATGCAGACATGGGTGGCACTGATATTCTGTCACCATTGGAATATGTTTTTAAGAAAAAATTGGAAAAAGGATTTATTAGAAAGATATTTCTATTAACAGATGGTGAAGTTAATAACTCAGACGAAATTTGTTCAAAGGCACAATTAGAAAGAGAAAACAACCGTATTTTTGCAATTGGTCTTGGGTCTGGAGCAGATCCTGGTTTAATTAAGAACGTTTCCATAAAAAATGGAGGAAATTATGTTTTAATTGCTGATGAGTACAACATGAATAACATGATTGTCGAGCTTATGAAATCTGCAATTTCTCCATCATTGACTAATATTTCTATACAAGGTGAAAGCGATCAGACAGAAATGTGGCCTACACCATGTCCACCATTGATTGCAAGAAATCCACAAAGCTTCTTCATCAAATCTTCTTACTTGGAAAATATATTGATAAGCGGGTACAATCAAAGTAAAGAAATTTGTCTTACAATTCCAGTTTCCAAATGTAATGACAACCTAGGAATGAAACAGTTATTCAGTAGATATATCATCGATGATATTGAAACAGAGATTTTTAGTGATACTTCTGTTATGAAATATGGTTTGTGTATTATTAGATTCAATTACCCTGATCTTAGAAATAAATGCATTGAATATTCATTAGCATCTGGTGTCCTTTCCCAATTCACATCCTACATCGGAGTCAATTACCAATCGGATCTTGATATGAGAATTAACTATGATAGTTATATTCATAGAGGCATGATGTTCTCTGTTGCACCTGATCCTCCAAATCTCAATCCTCGCCAATTTAAATCAAAAGCTTCAAAGCCATCTCAAAAATCAAACCCACCTATATGTAATATTAAGAAAGATGAAAATAAGGATGATGGAATACTAGCTTCCACTTTATCAGTTCTCAAAAGCTTTTTCCCACGGACTGGGGAAAGTTCGGAAGAAACATCTCCTGATGCGTTAATCTTTGATCAAAATGTTGATGGTTCATGGGATTATTTCGTTAATGTTAATACTAAAATCGAACATAAATATGGAAGAAATGTAGCTGCCACTGTTGCTGCAGTTTCATACATCCGAAGAACGTTCAAAGATGACTTGACTCAATATTCTCTTATGATCTCGAAGGCTCTTTCATTCCTCCAGAATATCGATAAGAATGTAGATTGGGAAGATATTATTAACAAATGACAATTAAAAATAGTAATCATACTGAATAATATAGTTTCAATTTTTTATTTATTTAGTAAATTAATGAAAAGCTTTCCTGCTTAATCTTCCTTTGTGTTTTCTTTCTTTATTGATCAACTTTTCTCTTCTGTCTAATATGTCTTCCTTCTTGTTAAGTCTCTCTTCTTTCCTCTGGAGCTTTTCTTCAAGCTTCTTCAATCTTTTCTCTTTGTTTTTAAGGCGTTCTTCTTGACCAGTTGTGTTATTGAGTCGTGCACGCTGTTTGAGTACTCGTTTCTTATCGATTTCTGCATGATGAAGTCTTTCCTTTTTTTCAGCCAAAGTTTCTCCTTTTACTGGAACATAAAGCTTCCAGTTTATCTTTGGGTAATGTGCATTGCCTTGCATGATTAAATGTGATGTGAAACAAAATTTAATCACATCTAGAGATAAAAAATCGTTGGTATAAATTTCAAATAAAAATTGAAATATTTACATTTCATAAATCAGATCATTTTAAGGGAGGTGATATCGTTCATTGGAAAATTTTTGCTTACTTTTTTGCAATGTTACATAATGCATTTTTAATATATTTTATTTGTCCTAATATCCGATAAAAATCGTTTATAATCACATCAATTTTCTATGGCATGTCAAAAATTTTTACTCTATAGAATTATTATCAAAATCTTGAAATTTATTGTAATTTCTCGTATTTTTGAATGATTTTGATTATCAGAAGGTCATCATCAGCCTAAAGAATTCACTCAACTCATAAAAATTTGTTTTTTTATCCCGAGATTCTAACTATGTTGGCGATAGCAAGTAAATGTGATCCTTTATGGAATATCAAGGCATGCGCAAGAATCACAGAGCCTGCTAAATATACTTCTCAGCTCTGAGCAAAAAGAAACAGAAATAATAGTCTGAATTCAAACATTACATTTTTATTCTATGAAAATTAATTACTTATTTGATTTTACTTCTTTGATGCGTTGTGTTTTAGATGATTTTACTTCTTTATCCGAATCAATAACTTTAGAAGAAGAAGTAATTCTCTGTGTCATACTTCTAGTTTGAATCTGACCATGAGGAAGAGCTATAAAAGGAATTACATCTGAAATAGTATCTAAAGAAGTTACAAATCCGTTGCATGACCTAAAATTCTCATCAAATGAATCTTCCCATAGTCCATCATACCATTCTGAATCAGAATGAGAAGTAATTTTATTAAATTTTGAGAAATCATAATTAATTCCAAAAGCTATAAGGAGAGATTCGAGTAAATCATATCTGATATCACATTTCGCGTTTAAACTAATTCTTTCGTTTAATATTTTCTCTGCTTTATTTTGATTTATTCTTCCTACATATTTTGGAGCTAAATCTATAAAATATTTATGCATTCTATATGTGTACCCATATAATAACACTTCTGGATTCTCGTAAAAAGCAATTCTTTCCAAAAATGAAAAATCTGAAATGATTTCTTGATTAAACTCTGAATTAAGTTGTGAATTGTATAAATCAAAGAAATTCATATCAATCTTATATTGTCCATATTCTGTTTTTAAGTTACAAATCAAATTATTCCAATAATAAAGCAACGAAGTATAAATATACATTCTTGATAAGTTAAGAAGATCTTTCAAATGAAATTCGAGTATTGATTTCAAAAAAGCTAAGCTAAAATCGATTTTAACGAAATTTTTCTTGATATTTAGAAGTAATGTTAAAATACTTTGAGAAAGATTTTTAATTTTCATTTTTGAGCATGTATGGTTGTGTTGTCGTAGATTTAGCAATATAAAATTTAAATGATTATTATAATCCTTATAATTTGGTGTAACATGCTTTAATGTATGAATATAATTGTAGCATATGACATAATTAAGAGTTATTTCGATGCTTTCTTCGTTAAATAGTTGAATTAATTGTGATTCAAAAAATAATTCTTGTAAATTATCAAAATCATACATTTCAATTGTTGTGAATTGAAAATCAATGGTTTTTTCGTTATGGTCATCAACTGTGATTGTGCATTGATCATTAATTGAGTTATCAATATTGATTTTACTAAGGATTGGATTGGTTTTTGTTGATTTAATATCAAATTTTCCATCATATTTGATTATTGGTGTTGCCTTGGAAAAAATGAAGATGGTGATTCGTTTTGAATTCGCAATCATAACATACCAATTAATAAAAATGAATACAATATTAAAATTTGATCACGAAATGCATTTTCGGATTGTTACAGCTATAGATAATGATGTTGTCATATTTTTTATAATTTTAATTTCACCTTCATTGGGCATTCCAGATGGTCATATGATAGCCTATCCTATTTGAAAAATGATCTATATGTTGCTTAAGAAGTTTGCGCATTTTAGAAAATTCAAAATTTATTGATTTCAAACATTTAAAATTAATATGGCCAATAAAACGTAATCAGTTCAATTCTATTAATTTTGCTATAAAAATAAGCCGTCTTTTTTATAACATAAAATAAGGACGATATGTAAACAAAAAAATAGTAATTGAAACAAATGAATTGGTTCGATTTTCTCATCTTTTATCCAGTCGGCCTTCTTTACCCTTCATTCAGATTATATGTTTCCCTAGCCAGACGTAAATCCATTGATAATTTCCTCAAATACTTTGTTGTTTTCGCATTTGTTTTCTCAATTATCGAAACAATTAATCTTATTTTGGGATCATTCTGGATTTACACTTTATCAAAGGTTGCTGTATTATGGTTATTAATTGTTTCTGATTTCAATGGAGCTGTCATCCTCTTTGACAATCTTATTCGCACATTTATGATCTCGATGCCATTCCTGGTCCAATTTGGCTACAAATCACATTTCTCATCAAATTCTCAATTAGGAAAAGATGTTTCATCATACATTCACATGAATTTCATCGAAAGATATCATAAGATTCTTGATGAGATTGATAACTAAGATACCATATATACCTTTGTAAAAATTGTATAAAAATTTATTCAAATGCAAAATTATTACTCCTTTTTTTAAATAGAACAAAATATTTCTCTTATTATTATCATATAATAAAAGAAACACATATGATTTCATACTCTATCAAGATAGCTTTAAGATTGACATATAACAAACACAAGTTTGATCTTTTCAATCTAGAATTAAGGCATTACCAGTCTAGTTTTCAATATATTGAAAAGGAATGAGTTAATATCAATTGTCTAAAGTTAATCTTCCTCAGATTCCCTGTTTGTTTATTTAGATTTTGATAATAATCATTGCAAACAATGATATAGAATAAAAATGAAGATCAATTATTAGATGATATGAAGAAGTATTAACTATCGTGTATTATAAGAAGCTGTAAAGTCTAAGTACCTTTAACTCTCAAATTCTAATATGTTTTAAAGCTTTAAATTTAGATTTTTCATGACTAGTTGAACTGTATCGTATTTTGGTTGAAATATGGCATTTATTTTTGAAGTTTAAAATTTGAAGGGATTTTGTATCCGTTTAAAAATATCTCTAAATCTGTTATTGAGACTTTTTCTATGTTCAATGATGGAAATAGCTTAAGCTCAAGCGACAAATTTAGAAAAAATAAGATCAGTCCTGATAATTATTCTTTTGCACTCGATACAGAAGTAGAATTATCGTCCAATCAAGATTTGCATAGCGATTTTGAGAAGATTATCAATGAAAATCAAACACTCACAGAAAGCATTGCTTCATATAAAGTTGATTTGCAAAATACTCAAAAACTACTCCAAATTGAAAAAAGGAAAACAGCAGAACTCGAGCAGCAACTTAGAAATGAGAAAGATGCTAAGGATGCATCCATCTTTAAATCATTATCTGCTGCGCAGAGTAACGACGAGCAAAAGAAACAAATCGAAACTCTAAAAAATCAAAACTCGAAATTAACGAAAAGCTTAAACGAAAAGAATACTGAGATCATTAATAATGTAAACGCCATATCAGCTTTTGTTAATCAATGGAATCGATTCTTTTCAACAAATTATTCGAATTTACAGGAAATTGAAAGAGAAATACCATCTTTGTTCAGGTCGTTAAATACTGAAAAGAAAGATTCTAATGAGTTACAATCAAATTCAACAATACAGCAAGTTTCAGATGAAAATATTCAATTGAGAAGGCAAATAGAAGATTTGCAAAAGCAATTGCAGTCTTCTATTACTCAAGCCAATGAATCTAAGAAAGACTTCGTAAATAAGTTGGATAAATTAGCCAATGATAACAGTAATAAGATATCAGATCTTCAAGAGAAGCTGGGAGTTTCTAGTATTGAAAACAGTAACCTTAGATCAACAAATGAGAACCTCAACAAGAGAATTGAGGCATTGCAACAACTTCTTGATGATAAAACCGAAATTCAAAAAATGGAAGAGATTATTAATGGATTAAAGGATGAAAATACCGATCTTAAGAACAAACTTAAGTCATTTAAATCTAAAGCTGAACACTTGGTTTCAAAAATTCAAGAATCAGATGATTTGACAAATCAAGTTAATGAAGAGTTAGTAAATGCTAAAAAATCTTTGGCTCAATCCCAAAAAGATCTCAAATCCTCAAATGATCAACTTGAAAGACAAAAATATGAGCTCGAAGAAATTAAAAATACCCTTGAAACTGAAAAGAAGCAAAATTCGATCAAAGATCAGATGATCAAAGAACTAACTCAAAAGCAATTAGCAGATGCTGATGAAATTGATGACTTATCACGGCAGATTAAATTATTGAATATTAAAGTCGAAGAATTAACTCATAACAATGAAAAATCAGAACAAACCATTAATAGCATGCATCAAGATAATGATAAGCTAATAGAAAATCTTCAGAAAGAGAAGGAGAATAGCTCAAAGCTTAATTCAGTTCTGAAAGATACTGAAGCTCATAACAATGCGTTAAAGGATGAAAATCAGAAACTTTCAGATGAGTTGAGTAAAATAAAACCAGAAATAATACCTATTTGCGCATGGACTAACTTTGGTCCACAGAATGAATTGAAGCAACAAATTCAACAAATTGTAACATGCAAGGATAAACACTTGCCGCAAAAGATTTGTGAATCATTATACACAGTTTCAAAGTTCTACGAATCTCAATTGTCAGCATTAAATGCAAATCTAGAAGTTGAAATGTGTAAATCTGATTTACTTTGTTCATTGATGTCTGAAATCAATTCATTCTTGAAACTTCCTCAGAAAACTCCCAATGAAGTTATATCTTATAAGTCAGATTTTCTATCAAACATCAAGAAAGAGCTTGGAAAAGTCAATCAACATATTATTGAACTGGAAGTGTTCAGTAAAGAGTTTGATAAATCTAAAGATTATAAAGAAATAGGCAAGAGAGCTGATCAATTGCAAAACTTAAACGATGAACTTAACAAAGAAATTATAATGAAAGAAAATGATATCTCAAGGCTTTTGCAACAAAATAAATCGATGAATGATGAAATAATTCGTCTAAAATCCGAAATAGATCAAAATGAACAAGAATTGGAATCAAATAAAGCTTTAGCAGATAAAGTAAGCGAATTAACCAAAACAGTATATGAGCAAAAAGTTCTGTTACAAGCTGCAGGACAGAAAATTGCATTGCAATCGAATGCGAAGTCACTTGAAGATAAAAAGAATAAAGAAAGTCTTGATTTCCATGCAAAGTTAGCTGAGAGAAAGTATGAGAAAGAAAAGAAGCTTTACGAGTTAAAGATCAAAGAAATGGAAGAAATGAATGCAGAATTAGAATCAACAGTTGAAAATCTTTCTAAATCACTGAAGAGAAAGAAAGATATCAATAAGAAACTAAAATCAGAAATTGCAAGACTTCTTTCTGCTCAAAATAATAAAGAAATTGAAACTCCGCCTGTCAATGATGAATCAAATAATTCTTTAGTGAATGAATTAAAGCATAAAATAGAGAGGCTATCGAAGGTAAATGAAGGATTGCAGCTTGAAATTACTCAACAAATGCAAAAGTTAACAGGCCAAACAACAATGATCAAAAGACTTCAGAAGCAAATAAAGAACTCTGATGAAGAGAAAGAAATGCTTAATACGATGTACAATGATATGAAGCAAAGGTATAATAATGATACAAAGCATATCCAAACCAAGTATGAAGCTGAAAATATGAGTATTTCTGAAAAGTTTACGCACGATATCGATGCAATGAAAGTTCAACATGAATCTGAACTTCGAAACATCTTCGGAATGATAGGAACTAGTTTCAAGCAATTTTATGATGCTAGAAGTAAGCTTGACATGCAAAAAACTCGCGAAATAATTGACCAAGCTAGTTCTCAATTGAATAAGCTAAGAAATTCTGATATTCATTTGAGGTCGCTTCTTGGACTTGAAGAGAATGATTCAATCGAAGATGTTGTAACAAACATCTTATTCAGACAATGAATTTTTATTTATTAAGTCTATCATTGCTCACTAATGTTTGTGTATTTTAAACATATTGTATTTTACAATCCTTTTTTTCAATTACATTGATTCATTTTCTTTTCGACAATGCGATGGGTATTGATTTGTAAAAAAATCGGAGTAATAGTACTCTCTATGCTTTACTTAATCTATTCTAACAAAAAAAAATATTATACATCATTATTTGAGTCTGTCGTCGTTTTATCAGTAGTAGTATTTTGCAAAAGTTGCGCGCAATATGGACAAAACCATGTTTTTGTTGTTTTGTTTGTAATTCCGACGCATTCGACGTGAAACCATTCGAATGGGCACTTTGGATTATCACATTGAACCATTTGTCCAACATTAAGTCCACGGCAAATGCAATAATGCTCTCCATCGTTTGCTATCCCTGTATATTGCATTTTATTCTTGATTTTTTCAACATAATCGTCTGCAAGAGGGTTCTGGTCAAATGTTTTCTTCGTAGCTAAAAAGGATTCCATTAATTTAATTTCGGAAAGAATTTCTTGCTCAGCTTGATCAAGTAAATCAACTAATGATCTGGCAGCTTCAACTTTTTGAGCACTATAGTCAAGTAAAGTTTGTGCTTCATACTCCAAACGAGCTGATGTCATTGCCTGTTCGTCTGCTATTTTAGCATTTGGTTGGATAGCTCCAATATTTTCGACGGATTTTGATAAAATATCACGTGCTTGTGCACATCTATTATCCATTCTTGTTATTGCGCTTTGGCGTCGCTCAATTGTTTGAGGAATTTTATCTAACTTGCGAAGCAGCATCTAAAATTCTTCAAAAAACTAAAAATATAACTGTTGGCTGCGTGTTTTGCACTAGACATTTACTATACAATTCATTGTATTGTGTATTTCTACTGATTTGCTCAAAAAAACAAATTGAAAATCTAAATTAGATAATTTAAATGATAGCAATCTTTTATTTTTGAGTTAAAAACAAATGTTAAATGAATGCAATGTTTTATATTAGAAATAAAGATAATATAAAATTTCAAAATGAAAATATTCGAATTTTTGAAAAAAATATTTTATTAAATTAAAATACTCTATGAGTTGAGATTGTTTTAAGACTTCTTTTGTTTCTCGAAATTGAATGAGAAATGTGAATTTGACATGTTATATTTAACATTAAAAAATTTAGCTTTAAAAAAATTATTTAGTTTTGTTTTGCACTCAGGGCGATTCGCTCTGAATAAGTGTAGTATCTGTTCTGAATCGCTTGACAGCGGTTCGCCTGGTATGTGCCAGGCGCCTCTGTTCATACTAATTTATTAACTCATTGTCCTAGCATGTCTAGGCGATGGATTTAGGCGGTGTCTTCACTATCTCACCTAACCTAAATCACCCAATCCCATCAAATTTAGCGTTTTTTTTTGTTTTGTTTTTGTTTTATAGGTGGTTGAGCTATGGCTACCGAGGCAAATCAGAAATGAATGATTCTAATCTAAAACTAAAACTGTATAAATTATTAGTCAAAACTCACTTTTCTTGCACTCATTTAAAAAAATTGATTGTTAAAAATATATCTATTTTTAGTTACGGCCTCCGCGTGGTCTCTGAGATCCACCGTACCTCTGTGCTGGATTTGGTTGTGGTTTTCTCTGAGATGATCCGAATTTCTCTGCTGGACTAGGTTGTTGTCTCTGAGGACCATTTGATCTCTGACCTGGCTGTGGATGTGTTCCCTGAGATGATCCGTATTTCTCTGCGAGATTTGGTTGTTGTCTCTGAGGACCATTTGATCTCTGACCTGGCTGTGGATGTGTTCCCTGAGATGATCCGTATTTCTCTGCGAGATTTGGTTGTTGTCTCTGAAAAGAACCATATCTTTCTGCAGGGGATTGACTTGGTGGACCCTGTCTCGGGCGCTGGTTTGAAGGAATGTATCTTCCTGATGGCTGTGGCTGGTGAGAAGAAGCCATGTGGGAGTTGAGTCCGACTTCGATTGGCTTGTTTGCGCTGACGTTGACAGCTCCCCATCCACTCTTTGCGACTGGAACTTTGACTTTCTCGATGATTTCCTCTTCCTCGTAGTACTCTTCCTCTTCATCATCTTCAGCCTCTTCTTGTTGTTTCTTCTTCGCTTCTTCTTCGGCCTTCTTCTTTGCAGCTTCTTCTGCTTTCTTCTTCTCTTCCTCTGCCTTCTTCTTCTTTGCTGCCTCTTCCTCAGCCTTCTTCTTTGCAGCGGCTTCTTCCTCTGCCTTCTTCTCCTTCTCCTCTTCGATCCTCTTCTTCTCTTCTTCCTCGGCCTTCTTCTTCGCCTCGACGTCTTCCGCTGGCTTCTCTGCCTCTGCCTGCTTCGCCTCTTCCTCAGCCTTTCTCTGAGCGAGGGTGACGTATCCGCCGGCTGCTGGCTGATGCTTAACTGGTCTTGCTGCCTCGAACTGCTCCTTGAGCTTGTCCGCGAGTGCCTTGAAGTGCGGTGTGATGTCTCTGAGCTTTTGCTGCACTGCCTCGTACTGCTTGAGGTCTTCTTCGTACTGCTTCTTGCGGCCTTTCTCCATTGCTGCCATGAGCTTTGGAACGATCTGTGCTTCCTTGGCGAGCATTCCTTCCTTCTCGAGTTTCTTCTTCATGGCGAGTCTTGCCTTGACTCTGTTCTTGCCGATCTCGGCCTTGACAGTAGCCATAGTTCTCTGGATTCCGTCTGACTTTGACTGCATCTCTTGGACGTACATTCTCTTGAGTTCGTCTGCCTTCAACTCGATCCACTCCAAGTCCTCGTGCTTCTTGCCTGTCTTCCTTGGTCCTTTCTCGAGTGGTTTCTCAAGGAACTCTTTGAGATCAAGGTTGAGGCTTTCGCAGATAAGCTGGCATTCAGCGTATCTGTATTCGTATGAGTCTGCGCGTTTCTTTCTCTCCTTGGATTTCTCTTCTTCCTCTCTTCTCCTCTTCTTCTCTTCATCTTCCTCGAGTCTCCTCTTTTCTGCAGCTTCTGCCTCTGCCTTGGCTCTCCTGGCTGCGTTCTTCTTCTCGACGTTCTTGATGAGCAAGGCCAAGTGAGATGGACGGTCATTGAACTCTCTGTATGGTTCGTCGTAGATGGCTCTGTGGGCCTTCCTTCTCTGCCTCATGATGTCGTCGTCGTTTGTGGTGGAAATGCCGGAAACAGCCATTTCCTTGTTGATGGACTGGAAGTGGTCGAAGATGTTCTTGAGCTGGTTGTTCATGTTGGACATTGTTGGGACAAGCTCTTGGCTGCCACGTGGTGTAAGTGAAATATAACCTGTCAACATGTTAATATGGGCTGGAATGATGTTGAATCTGGCGGCGTGGACAAGAAGCTGCTCAAGTGGGACATGGTCCATCCATGGAATGAACTGACCAAGTTCGTAGAAGGAAATCGTATCGTAGTGGATTCTAATGCGCTCAATGATGTTGATTGCGGCGTATTGAGAGAGTTCGTCGATAAGAGTCTTCTCGTACTTCTCGGAGTACTGGTTGACGAAGTGCTGGTATGTTTCGGAAATGAGGAATGGATCTGACTCTGTTTCAGCGGCTTTGATGAAGATTGTGAGTGGTGTGATATCGGCCTTGAGGATAAGGCGTGTAAGGACATCAGAGCGGGATGGAATTGTGCCGGATGTCTGCTTGAGGAACAATGGGAAGTTTACTGTGTCATCTTTGACGCTGGACTCATCGAAAAGTGGAGAAGCGGCGGTCTCGATGATAACGAGCTCAAGCATTTCCTTGATTGGCATTGGTGGCTGGACTGATGGGTGGGAATTGTAGAAATCGATCATGTTGGCACGCTGGATGGCAGCAAGGCGCTTGTTGTTGGTGAGCTGGAGAATCTCGAGCTTCTTCTCTTCGATCTTCTTCTCAATTTCGAGAGGAAGTGAGTTGTATTTGAGGGAGAAGTCGAAAGCATCGGCAAGAGCTTCGATAGCGCGCTGGTACTTCTTGAAGAAGACGGATGTCTCGTAGCAGACGAGCTGTGTGTTGATGATCTTCATAATTGTCTCCTGGCGTGGATTTTCAGTGGCTGTTCTGTAGTACATGAGGGAAACGCAGAATTCGCGGTGGAACTCTGGGCGGTTGTACTTCCTGGTGAATTCGAAAGCCTTACGAAGAATTGTGTGGTAAAGTGTTTCGAAACGCTGGATCTTGAAGATTCTTTCGAGGATAGCGAGGTAGCACTTGTGTGTGAACTCAATGGATGCGTTGACAACGGATTCTTGAATAAGCTTCTTAAGATCAATTTTCTGGAAAAGCTCTGAATCTGGTGTGTTCTGGAGCTCCTTATCGGCACGCTGCTGCTCAATTTCCATTCTCTCATCGCACATTGAAAGGAATTCGAGAAGGTTGTCGGCCAATGTGTCGTTTGGATTTGTAACTGCAAGACGAACAGCTGTATGAAGAGCTGACTCTGGGGCAACCATGAGTTGTGATGCGAGACGAAGAGTGTTCTTGAAAAGGCGTTCGTGTGGGGCATCCCAAACACGAGCATATGGTTTTGCGAAATAATCTGATGCAACATCGAAAGCCTGACGAATTTGGCCTGATGCCTCATAAGTCATCTGGTTTTGGAGTGCATTTTCAACCATCTTAAACTTAACATTAAAGCCTCCGTACATGATTTTTTTTACTGTGGTCCTTGAAAAAAAATTTTTTGATCTTGGTCCTAGACTTCAAATATTGATTTCTGATTGCATTTGAAATATTTACTAAATATAATGCAATTTTTATCATATAATGTGGCTCTTGTGTCTTATAATTTTAATTTCCAAAAAAAGAAAAATAGATATATTAAAATTTGTATATGACAATTAACATATGTAGTTAATAGATCATTTATATTTTGCATTCTTATCTCTTAATATTGAGTTTCAAAATTCAACTTCTAAATTGTTCAATGAGACCGCTGTCTGGGCAGAATGATATCATATTTTATTTTAAAAAGTATTGCTTGTTTCATTCAGAGCTTCCGAACAAAATCATTGATCAATAACATGATCGACAAAATGTTGGAAGATGCTTAGTCGATTAAATTTAATACAATCATCCAAGCGTATACATATTAAAAATAGTTAACTCGGGATTAATAAACAAATCCCCATGAATAACTTAGTAAGGAAGGTAGGCTTACTATCATGTTATGGTATTTTTGGATTACCAAGGAAATTTATTTTGGGATGGAAATTAATTTGGGGAGCAGAGCTTCGAGTTCTTGGATTCTTAGAATGATGATAATTTTCATAAAGCGACGATAGCCTTTGTTTGGCCGGATTTGGATTTTTAGTGGTTGAAATTATATAATCTTGAATATATTGATATGCACTAAATACTGTTAATATATGCATTTATGTCATTTGGGAGATAATTTTTCTCTCAAAAAGTATTCAAAATCTTAAAATTTTGGTCATGACAATTCTCACAAAATACGATAAATTACATTAAATTGAATTTAGTAACAATGTTGTTACTCAAAGTAAACCTTATTGATTCATCCATATCTTCCGATTAACTCAAAATTCCTGCGATTATTATATGATTGAGTATTTAGATAACTACAGAGTGCTAAATCAAGTTCCATATGATATAAAATGCTTTGTAATCTCAGCAACGTGCGAATATATATCAAATGAATGTTGTAAGGATCGAACATCTTTAATCTCTTTTTCTTTTGAAGAAAATTCTAACTTAACAACAATTGGAACGAGTAGCTTTGAAGGATGTACTAGTCTTACAATTATTAATTTATCATCATGCCACAAGCTCACAAAGATAAGTGTAAGAGCATTTTATTACTGTTATAGAGTTAGTAAAATACTGTTACCCGAAGGACTTCTTGAAATAGGCTCTTATTCTTTTTCTCAGAATCGGTTAATTAAAGATGTTGTGATTCCAGCATCCGTCGAAATAATTGGTTATAGGGCCTTCTCTTATTGTTATGATCTTGAATACTTTAAATTTGAAGAAGGTTCGAATTTAACAACTTTGGAATCTTGTATATTTCTATCTACAAACATTGCATCATTTCAAATTCCTGAAAAAGTAAATATAATTAGGGCTTCAGCTTTGGCAAATTACAAATTAACAAATGTTTCAATTCATGAAAGAAACAATAATTTTGGTATTTTAGATAAGGTTCTTTTTTCCAAAAGTAAGTCTATTTTATTGTATAATATAGATTTAACCAGGAAATCATATAAAATACCAGATTATGTTATAACTTTGGCAATTCAATGCTTTGCAGGTTCAAACATTACAAATATCACTATTCCTCCAAATGTGAAAATAATTGAAAATTATGCTTTCGTTGAGTGTCATGATCTGATAAATGTTACGATTTTAAGTCCATTATATTCTATTGGTGATTATATTTTCGATGGTTGTTTCAATCTCGAAAGAGTTATCTTCCCTAATTCATCAATGACTGTTAATTATGGTTTCCTAAATACACAGTTTACGCCAAAAGTAAGATTTTATTTTACATGTAAAATATTATTTAAACAAAGAGCTGTAAATGATATAATCAACGTATCAATTTCACACTTTGATAAACAAAACCTTATTATTAATCATCAATCATTGATTATGGATCTTGAACAAACGATAATATATGAATATTGGGGATATTTAATAGATAATATTACAATTCCAAATTCAGTCAGAATAATCAGAGAAAGAGCTTTCGAAAATTCAACAATTCATGTTGTTGAGTTTGAAGAAAATTCTAATATTAGAGAGATTCAGAATTATGCTTTTCAAAATTGTCAAACTTTGGATTTGTTTACGGTATCTTCTCCATCTTCACTATTCATTGGTACAGCAGCATTCAAAAATTGTTCTTATTTAACTTTGGTCAAATTTAAATCAAATAATGTAACATTTTCAAATAATACATTTGAAGGATGTAATAATTTAAGTGGAATAATAAACATAACTAACGTTCCTAATTGGTGCTTCTATAATTGTGAACAATTGAGTAATGTCACTATTCTTGAAGGCTCTACACACATTAAAGATTATTCATTTTTCCGCTGTACATCACTAACCAGTCTGAACATCCCATCAAGTATTCGAGTTATTGAAAATTTAGCATTCTGTAACTGTTTCAATCTTCGTAGTTTAACATTTGCTGCTACAAACAATCTTGAATATATTTCATTCACTTCATTTTCTAGTTGTAAATCCCTTAACAGCATTAGTGATTTTAATTCAAATTATTTCCAATGCATCAAAAATACTATATATGACAACAGGGATAATCGATCTGATCTGATTTTTCATGCTTCTGATGCTCCAGAGAAAATTCTTGAGATAACTTGCAAAAAAATTTGTGGTTTATCATTTAAGGGTGCACCCGTATGTACGTTTATTTGAGAGGAGGAGGATTACCCTCTCAATTTTGAGGGATTCGTTAGTTTATTTTCTCGATGAATATGCAATAAAATTTGATTTTTACCTTATCAATATACTTCATATAATATACACATGTTCATGTAAAAACTTTTTTCCAAAATCCTCAGGAATTAAGGATTTTTGAATTTTAAGAATTTTTTTCGAATTTTTTCGAAAAAAAAAAATATTTTCAGAACAGCCTTAACGGCTAAGATTTAGGAACAATGTTAAGTATCAAAAAGAAAGGAGGTCTGATATAGACAACATATATCGTTGAAGGTTGAAAAAATCTCTAATATTTGAGCCCAAAATTTCAAATTTTAATTTTTTGAAAAAAGAGGCCACCTGTATGTACGTTTATTTGAGAGGAGGAGGATTATATTTTTGAAAGGGTGAAACATTATGAATATGTTAATTATATAATAATATGTATTATTATAAAAAAGAAAAAATAAAGCACGTTAAAATTTTTCTTTCTTGATTTTTTACAAAATCTACTTAGAATTATGCAAAATATGACTAAATAATTATAAATTTCAAGTTAAATTTTAATTTTGATAAATAATTTAAATTTCAAAATATCAAGTTCAGTTCGACTATGTAAAAAAAAAAAAAAAAAAAGTAGTGGGGCCTCCAGGCACTTCGTGCCCTCTAGCCCTGAAGATGTTTAGTATAAATGAAGTTTTTTTGGGTATTGGGGGCTTCCAGGCGCGTTGCGCCCTCTAGCCCATAAAAATTTTTGGTAGAGCACTCAAAATAGTATAACTTTGTCCGGACAAGTAAGGGTCTATCGTCGCTACAGGAAAAGTTACAGGCGTTCCAAGGAAGTATACTTTGAGAGACTCTTTAGAAACTTTAGACGTTTTACATAACCATCCATGCTTTTACTTTACATCCGATAAAAGTGGTTTGGAAACCGTTATGAGATGGTTAGAGGACATACATGACTATGAGTTTAGATATGACAAGATAGAATATGAGAGAGGTCCTATAAACCGGAGAAAGTGTCATATAAACATCTGTCAAAAACCGCTTTTTAACTTCACTTAAAATGCCACGTAAGCTACGTAAGAATATACGTAAGAGGAAGAGAGCATTGAAACATCCAATAGTAAAACTGACACCACAACAACAGGTGCAACAACAAATTATGAATGACCCCACTATGTTGCAACAAATGTCAAGCAATCCTATGCTTTTAAACCGAGTTCTTGGTGCACAGAGTGGAGGTTTAAGAGCGGCACTTTTAGCGAAAATGGCAGGCTATGGTGGAGCTGCAGACGGAACAGCTTATAACCCTCAAAGTCAAATGAATTTGAGTTCACTCAAAAATCAAATAGCAGATGTCAAAAAGTCAAACATAGACATACAGAAACAAATAGGTGAAAACGAAAAGAAACTAGAATATGACAGACACACAAAGAAACTCAATGAGTTAAACGTAGAGAAAAAGAAGAAAGAGAACAACTGAAAGAACTAAGTACAGAGGAATATGCGAAAAAAGTGTCAGAAAAAGCAGCAGAAGTAGCAAAAATGGAACAAGATGTTATAAATTTGAAAAACCATACTACTCAATATAAAGTACTGAAAGATGAAGAGATAAAAAAAAAGCCCTGAAGACATATATGGATAGCGATGAGTATAAAAAAGAAGTTGAAGCAAATGTAAAGGCAGAAAAACTTTTACAGTTGCAAAAACCAAACCGTACAGTATGAAAACTTAGCACAAGAAAGTAAAAATAACGACGCAGCCATGCAAAAAGGCAATGAAAAGCGCAGAATATATAAAAGCTAACAATGACTGGTTAGATGCCCAAGCCAACGCCAAAGCAGCCCAACTTATAGGGTCAATAAGGAAAAATACAAGCGGATGAAGACAGTTCAAATGAAGCTTTAACAAATGCTGACTTTAAGAACGCCTTCGAAGCTCTTCATAGTAAGGTGAAACAAGTGAACGACTTCTCATCTGGAAAGAAACTGAAGTCTGAAGGTTTCGACAAAGAGTTAAAAGAAGTAGCACAAAATATGACGAAAATAACAGATGCAGCAACGAGACAGGCAGTTCAAAGTGCCTATGACGCCGTTAGAGCAACTGTTGTGGAAAGTCAAGAAAAAGAGTTACAACAGACCAAAACAGACCTAGTAAATGCTTTCTTAAAAACGAAAAGTCAGGTAGGACACTATGCTGCAGATGGAACATATGTGCCAGCTGGTGGAACTTATATACCACC